GGGCAAAGGAGCCACCTGAATGCTTGTAACTTGCCTTGGCGTTGAAGCCACAGTGGTTTGCTGTGCTGTCTGAACCTGGTGCCCCCTGCCATGGGATATTTTCTTCATGACCATGAAGCCACCCCAACAATCCATGGCCACACAGGGCAGCCCACTCACTCTGTCTCATTTAGTACCTCTAAGAACACCATTTGGCAGCTGTAACCAATAAGGCAATAGGCAAGGTGAACATGCGTAGATCAAAAATCCAAAAGAGTGCACTTGTGCAACTCAAAATACAGCCAACAAAGTTTTTTTCCTTAAAACATGAGAACATTTGCACACATTTCTGGCATCATCTTTTTGTTTTGTTTTTCTAAAGGTGTCTAACCAGCAATGGTCGCTCCATTAAAGTTTGGGCATTAATGGAAGTGCTGTTACTAGTCGTGACACAGGCAGATGGCCAGGAGCAGCAGGTGGGGTGGGGTTGGTGTTCTTGCCATGCCCCTTTGCTAGCTGTCTCCTGCAGCCCATATGCGATTGCTCAGTTCAAATGACATGGCTCAGATAACATGATAACCCAGCATGGGTCCGAGAATGCCTAGAAGAAATGGCTCTCTGGGGTGGCTTGATGCCCCCAAACAAGCCATCCTGAGGGAAGGGGCTTGGTTTGGATGACACAACAACTTACCAACACTGGGCTGTTGTATAATATGAACTCTGCCCAAGATTCCAAAGAGGGAATTCCACAGCCATGGAACCCTTAGTGAAAAGGCTCTATCCTGGAAAATCTGATTTTAGTTAGGTAGTATCCACTGCCAGTGCTTCATAGAGCAGACCCATTGTAATGAATGGGTCTACTTTACATAAGACTAACACCTATTTGTTTAACTGATAAAGGACTACAGGGCAGTTTACAGTCTTAAACCAACACATCAAACCCAAGCAAAAATATACAACAATAAAAGGGACAAAGTAATACAATATTAAACATTAAAATAGTATATATACACAGTTATTTATTTATTCACTTTATAATGAATCCAAGGCAGCTTACATGCTCCTCCTCTCCTTTTTATCCTCACAACAACCCTATGATGTGGATCAGGCTGAGAACTAGTGACTGACCCAAAGTCACTTAGTAAGCTTCATGGCCCAGTGGGGACTAGATCCTGGCCTTCCTGAGTCCCATTCCAACACTCCAGCGACTATAGCACCATGAACTCTGCAGTAAAGCAATTAAGCTACAGATTAAAGTTAAATGCCTGCTTAAAGAGGGAGGTCTTAACCTGGTACATGAACATAATAGAGTTGAAGATGCCAGTAGAATTTTCCTTGGAAGGACATTTCAGAGATAGGAGGCCCATACAGAGAGAGCTCTCTTCCTTGGTAACCACCTGTTAAACCATTGCAGCCAGCAGCTCCAGAGAGGATCCTGCACAGGTCTTAGAAATCAGACAAACAATGGGAAATGGCACTCCTTCAGGTCAATGGGTCCTAAGTTGTTTCAGTGGGCAGAGAGCCGGATGGCTAAAGCTGCTTTTTAAGACTAGGGCTAGCTCATAGGATCCTTCAACTAACTTCCCCCACTGCATAATTTCAATCAACAGTACCTCTGTTTTCTTCAGTCCATTCTGTGTGTATGTAGGGCAGCTCAAGGCTGCCAAAATAGTGTGTTGAAATCCACAACCAGGCTTCTCTGATGTGCCATGAAATCTTTCCCTCTGGCTCCTATGGTGTTCATATATTTTACATGATCCTAATGGCCGCTGATCTTCCCTGTCATCTCTGCCCCCTCCACATTGCTACACTGCTCTTCTAGCATTTGGCAATCATGGAGTTAAAGCATGTGGGAGCCAAGGTCACTTGGCTCTTCTTTCCTTGAGGTTTTTCATTTCCCACCTCCTTTTTGTTGACATCCAGTCCCTGCAATCAGACCTGCCAGTGATAGGCTGGGAGTCACAGGTGTTGCAACAGGTGGCCCTCCCCTGTATCCAATCAGGTTGGTCCATTCAGGGTGAGCCGGGAGGTCTATACTTCTGCTTATTCATAAGCTTGGGTGTAACCGAAGAACCCAGCCTTTCAAGATGAAAGCAAGGGAAAGTTTCACCTAGCCAGGTGTACAGAGTAGCTTGGCATCTGGTTGTTGCTTTCCTGGAAGTATCAGAATCCCAGTGGGGCACCGAGTACCCTTCCAGGAAGTGCTGAGCTGTTCTCCAGGATACCATCTTTCCAAAGAGTATGTGGCCATTGGGACCCCTGGACCATTTACAAGTGAATGGTTCTCTTGACACAGACAGTGCTCCGGTATGGAAATGTCCCTTTGTGCTTTTCTTCTTTCCTGTTCATAGTGAGAAAGAAGCATTTGGCGACAGGAGAAGCACTAGAATGGCAGGTAACACAGAATTCTCCAACTGGGCACCCTCCAAATATATTGGGCTACATTTCTCATTACAGCTGGTGGGAATGCTGGGGATTGTAAGCTCCCATTCTGGAGGGTGTTAGGTTGGGGATGGGTGATGTAACTTAAGATGATCTGCTCAGCTTCTAAGGCTGTTTCAGGGCTTGTACTGATTGTTTTTGGAAAATCAGGAGCCCCCTTTTGGAGAATAGACCAGATAGGTACTTTAAGGCTCCATCTCCAGGCCTTATATGCAGAACTGAGGCTGCCTCCTGCTCAGTCTACCCCAAAAGCTCGCTCTCTGGGAAAGGATCCAACTCAGAGGAGTGCCTGAAATTTGTAGGGCAGGGAAGGTGAGGTAGAATAGATGAAGGAAGCATTTGCTGAGCTGGGAAGTAGCAGCAGCAGCAGCCTTGGGAGCCTCTTGGGCAACATATTAAAAAAACACAGGTTTTAAAGGATGAGAGTGAAAGGGAGAGGGGTCATCTGGATAATTATTCTGATTTCTTCCTTCTGCCCTTCATTGTCCTTTCTATCATTTATAATCCACACAATGCATCCAAATATTTAATGACTTTTGACTTGGCTTTATGTGGTGAGGAGGTCATTATGCCTGATTCTGGATTTGTGAAGCAACAGGGATGTCTTCCTATGTCAGCTGTTCTACACTGGGAGGCCAAACTGGTTGGGGTGCCTCAGTCGAGCGAGAGCGTGGCATAACTGCTTTGATTCTGAATGGCTTCCACACCTTTTATGTTGATGAGGCGCAAGGGCCTTGCCAACAGACACAGGTGCAGCTGGGGAAGGGGGCACATGTTTGAGAAGAGTGGGAGGGGCTGCTCTTGCATTTTAAAAAGGCAGTTTGTAGTCTCAAATCTGATTCATTCCATTGCTGCGGAGAGGTTACTTTAATATCTGGATATTTATTCATCTCCTTTGTAGACATGGCAAAGTTTCATGCTTCTTGCCTATGATGTGCAAATGAAAGTTGATGAAAATTCATCATTTTAAGAATGAATATATAGTATTAGATTAGTGCCTTTTAAATCACGCTCAGCTATTTTTTACCTGAATGCAAAAGGCTCCAGCCTTTCTGGGAAATTAATAAATGGATTCAGTTTCTGAAGAATAGCTCCCTCTCCTGTAAGTTAGCCCAGCCTTGGGGTTGGAGTTCCCTAGGCTTCTTGCAACCTTCTCCATTCTGGTGCCCTCCAGATGGGTTGGGCTATAACTCCTGTCTTGATCCTGCTGGCTGGGAATGATGAGAGTTGTGGTCTAACACATCTGGAGGATGCCAGGATGGAGAAAACTGACCTATGGTCTTGGTTGATGTCATTGTTTACCCCAGAATCTTCCTGTTGGAGAGTGGCCTAGGATTTCATGGACACTATGCCAATCACAAGCATGTTCCAAATTATCTCTTTCCCCAGGACACACACAGATTCAATCTGGTATCTCTTTGGACTTGTTTGCATGGTGTTCTGAAGATGGAAGAATTCATTTGACCTTTATTTAGTGAGATTTAGACTGCTGATGACCCGGACCTTCAGCAAAGATGGATGACCTATTAAAATGCTCCAGTGCAGGAGTCTGATAGATCCAAATCACAATGAACCTATGTTTAAACCCGTGGCTTTTGGGTTGTGGGTTCTTCACAGTTCTGTTCTGTGCCCCATGGTTTTTACATCGGGGGTGAGCATATGTGGTTAGCCCAGGGACACTCAGATCTTTAAGCTCTCCTAGATGTTTGAACTGCTTGTTGTTGCTTGTTTATATTTTACTGGTTTTGCGCCCAAGGGAAGGGCGATATAAATGGCTTTAAATAAATAGCATGATTCTGGAGAATTGAGAGAGTGAGTATGTGGACTGGCAGAGGGGGAGTTCCTCACAGGTCCTTCTTATCCACCTAACACAGAAATACAGCTCTTTGCCCTAGCTTAGTAGGGAAAGTAAACAAAGACATGCTACAAAACAAGAAGTGTTAAGCTGGGGAAGTGCTAGGTAGGAAAATGATCTGGGGCTCAGGGCCACTGAACCAAAAAAAGTACAAAATTTGCACGTCCTAATTTACATATGCTCTAAAGTCTCTAAAGGACCCTGTCTCCTAAAAAGGCCCATCTTTGTAAAAAGGGGGTGTGTTGACAAGGGAGACGCTGGCATTTGATTTCAAGAAACACTTGGAGGGCATAGCAGGAGCTAAAGCCCATATGGGCAAAAAACCAGCAACTCCAGGGGGTTCAGATGCAATGGATCAAGAGGACCCCTGTACCTTTATTTCAGCAAGAGTCCATGAACAGCAGGATGCTGGGACAGAAGTCCTCCCTGAGATTTGGGGTTCCAGGTAAAGATTTGGAGTTCTAGCCCTAGTAGGCTGGCTGATGACATCGCTGCTGCATTGGAAGCTGGTACCATTGGGAGGCTAATTTCAAGGCAGAGTGAGTTACTCATAAGGAGGAAGGGTTCTAACTGCCACACAAATGTCCTCTCTTGGTAGGATTCTTATTTCAGTTTATTATCATAAGACCTCCACTTTTATTACGCATGCATTATTTCAGACCACCACATTTTACGTCTTCATTTCATGTCATTCATTAAGCTTCTGTGTGATCTCTCTTTCTAGCCAGATCTTCTCAATTTCAAGAAGGGATGGATGTCCATATTGGACGAACCAGGAGAGGTAAGATGGAGACAGTGAGGCGGGTTTTTGGGAAATTTTTGAATTGAAATTGGGAAATATGAAAAATATCCTATTTAAATTAGGCTAATTTGCATAGGGTCATTGACCTTGGAGGGCACTCTTTGCATCAGAATATCAGAGATCTGGTTTAGCACGTTGAAGGTTCCATGTTACATTTTTGCCCCAATATACCACAAGTATTTGACTATTTGAGAAAAGTTAAAATGTACATAATGTAACTTGAGATCATGTAGTTGTTTCTATTAGAATACAGTGGTACCTCAGCTCACAAATGGCTCAGTTCATGATCAAATCGGGTCGCGAACACACATTTCATTAACATTTTGACTCAGGTCGTGAACTCTACATTGGGTGACGATCGCAATCGCGGCCATCTCCCCACCCGCTGAGTGGGGAGATGGCCGCGATCATGCTGGGGGCAGGGGGGAGATGGCCGAGATTGTGCCTATCTTTCCTGTAGGAGCACGCCTGTGATTGCTCCCGTCTTTCCTGCATGAGCGCATCCGCAATCTCGGTCATCTCCCCCCCCCCCAGCACGATTGTGTCCGTCTTCCCCCCCTCCGAGCGCACCCACATTCGCACCCGTCTCCCCCCCCCCCACAGTGCGCCTGTGTTCACGCCCGTCTGTTTCTCCCTCAGCACGCTGGGATGATGGGTGCTTGCAGGGATGACGGGTGCGATCCAGTCTTGCTGGGGGGGCGGGGAGATGGCCGGGCTCGTGTTTGGGGTGTGTGTGGGGGTGGGGGGGAGATGGCTGCAATCTTTGTTGTTCTTTGTCACTTTGCTTCTTCACATTTTTCTGATTAAGAAAATTCAGTAGTTACAGAACAGATTAACCTTAGTTACATTGAACCTTACTGGGAAATTTAACTTGGATCACGACCATTTTAGGTCACGACCAGAGTCCTGGAATGGATTAAGTTCGTGAGCCAAGGTACCACTGTACTTGTAAAAAAGTAAAGTCAATAACATGTACTTGGTTTACATTGTTTAGTTGAAAGAAAGAAACAAAGGTTCTGAAAACTTTTGACTGCTAATTCAGCCTTCCAGATCATGGTACCTTCCTGATATGTTGGAATACAACTCCCAGTGTCCCCTAGTCATTTTGACTGGCTAGGATTCTAGGAACTGTAGTTCAGTACATCTGAAAAGAACTAAGTTGCACAAGGCTGAGCTAATTAATTTTAGTTTCTTAAAGAACCGTTCACAATACTTGTTCAATCATTCACATTACTGACTAGGGACAATCATCTGAAAAAAATCAATTACAGCATTCATGCCTGCCTACTGTATTTACACTTATTCATTGTTCATTGTTATTCATGAACTTATGAAATGGAAAAATTTCCATAGAAAATTTTCTGCCCCTATCACCGATAAAGGAAGTAGTTTTCCTTTCTTCTACAAACTCCAACATGGTTTGTGTAAGAGCACTCCTTTTGGAACAGTAGGAATAAGCTGCCCAGAGACCCCACTTGGAGTAAGGGGGTGGCATCTCAATGTCTAAATAAATAAAGAGCTGCTTTTGACTTCATCCTTGAACATGCTGCTTTCAGGATCTTTTGTTTATCTGCAGCTGGTGGAAATCTCACTGGAAGCACAGAAAACAAACCTTTCCAGAACTGAGGCAGCCCACCTGTTCCCCTCCAGATGTGTTGGAAGGCAGCTTCCATCAACTTTAGCCAGAATGGCCAGTAGCCAGGGATCATAGGAGCTGTAGTTCCAGACATCTGGAGGGCACCAAGTCATCCACTCATCCTTGAGACTAGAACCAGCTCCCTTTGAAATTGAATGGAATGACATGGATGTTTAGCTGACAGCTTGGGAAGGGCTAATTTGCTCATAAGACTGGAAGCCTGCCTCCTGCTTTGTCCTAGCATGCTTTGTGTGCCTCGTAACCCCTGTTGCATGATGATGCAACCTGCCTGCCGGTGGTTCCCCATATTGTGTGTCTTCAACCCGACAAACAAATTTGGTTTTGGAGAAGCTCTGGAAGGAGTGGAAGGCAGAGGGGTAGCTTTTGTTGCCAGTAATAATGCCTTTGGGGAAGCATTTCAATTGTTCAGAATTTGCAGGGGTGGAAATGGGCAAATGCCAGGAAATCCCCAATTAGCATTTGAGGAAACAACAGGGGAAGGGATGTTGGGCTGTTTGGGGAGCTCTGGAGGGCCAGATTGATTCCCCAAGTAAGATTTGGTCTGCAGGCCTGCATTTCTGCACCCCTGCTATGTCCCATTGCAGAAACCAAAGGGGAGGGGTGTGTCCTAAGCAAAAATGAGGCAGTTCAAACTGGGGTTGACTTTTCCTTCCTGAGCAGAATTTTGAAAGGTCAATGAGTGCCGCAAGCTTCTGTGGATTCTTTAACATAGACCCTTCCCTTTTATTTTGCTCTTCCCTCCCTGCTCCCCTCATGGTTCCAATCTGCAGTGGACGAAGCATTGGTTTGTGCTAACAGACTCAAGCCTGAGATATTACAGGGACTCCAATGCAGAGGAGGTAAGGAGGCATCCTGACCTGCATGGTCTCTCCTGCATGGGGGTAGTCGAGCCACTGCTGTGAAAATACCTTTATTGTATTCATTCAGAGTCTGTCTTGTTCCCCCGCCTGCAAGGCAGCTCACATGGTTTCCCTCTTCATTTTATCCTCACAACAACCCTATGAGGTAGGTTAGGCTGAGTCAACATCTGGCCTGAGGTTGCCTAATGAGCTTCATGGCCAAATGGGAGCCAAAACCTGGGCCTTCCCAGTCCCAGTCTAACCATGGACCATACTAGTGCTTGTCTATTATGTATTTAATGTACTTGTATATAATGTTTCCGTACCATCCAATAGCTAAAACCCACTAGATGATTCTCACAATAGAGTGAAAACCCCAAAAATATATATTTTAAAAAATCAATAACATCAAAGAACAGATAGAGAATAAAACAGAAGCAAAACCAAGCACTGAAAAAAAATCAAGCATAAGCACTAGGGAAGTCTTTCAGGGAAGGGCATTCTACCCCCAGGCTGCTCTCTTTATTAGCCAGTGCTATGCACTGTGGAAAAAATGGCATAATTATGGCTTATTTTTTCTTTGGAAGAAAATGAGCAGAAGTGGTGTGTTTGGAACACGTGAAAGAGGGCAGGGGCAGTGATGGTATGGGCAGTACATTTTATATTGATGAAGGAAGTAGACCATGGAGTCTTTTGTGCGTTGAAAGAATTGTCTAGAGAAGTATATAAGCTTGAAAGAGGCTGGTTGGCGTAGGTGTGTGTGAGCGCAGGCTTAAATAAGTTGGGAATGGTGTTAGGCCTGAAGCCTAGCTCAAGTTGATGGTTTGGAGGTCATTTCAGGCAGATGATCTGGATGGGGAGATTGACCTACGCTCTTGCACTGATGTGACGGAATATGCCGTGCAGCGCAACTATGGCTTCCAGATACACGTGAGTGCTTAGAATCTGGAGGCATTTGGGGTGAAACAAAAATGTCGTCTGGTCTGCAGTGCTGGCACAAAAACCTGTGCAATGACTTGATATTGCTGCAATCAAAAGGCTTTGCATCCCTTCGCCATCACAATGGGAAACTCAGAGGATAAGGGGAACAGGGTACGGGTGAACATTTTTCTACAAATCATACTTATAACATTATAGCATTGAAGACTTCCCTGCATTTTTTGGGTAGGAAACAGTTTCTTTCCAGCAGGAGTAGGTAGTGTAATGGTGAGGCAAGCCACCCCCACCAACACTGCCAGGAGTCCCCCTCCTCCCGGCAGTCCGTAGGGCCAGGAAAGCCCAATGTCCCCCCTTAGCAAGCGAAACTGCACTGGACCAGCACACGGTGACCCAAGTCTTGGGGAAAAGGTACTTTATTAAACCACACCATACATGCCATCGGAACAGAAACAGGCCACGACTACAAATACACAAATGTAAGGGGAAGGGAACAGGAAAGTGGAAGTGGGATAGCAGCTTTTAGTCAAAAGAATACAGTCACAGGCGTTCGCCCCCTTGGGCCATCGCTTCTCCTTCTGCAGCTTAAGGCCTTTCCCGTTCCAGGTAGCCTGGGGCCTTCCAGCCATGTTGGACTACAGCTCCCAGTAGCTACAACCATCATGGCTACTCTTAACGTTATCAAAACTTTAGTCCAAAACATAAAGGGTACCAGGTTGCCTACCTTGATGCAAGATAGATGTCCATTTTCTCTACTCATGCTTGTAGTTTATGGAGGCAATCAACATAATTTTTCAGCAGCATGGAAGTTTTATTTTTTAAGTGGATGGGGACATAGAATAACAACCATGCTACTGTGACTTCTCTAAAAACAATAATACCCCCTTTTCGGTGAAAAAACAATGCAGATACCCCATTTTCGGGTTCAAAAGCCAGTTTCTTACTGGGCAAAGATTTAAACAAATTGTAACTGAACTTCAGATTAATACAAAATACAAAGCATTTCTAGAAGATTTCAGCATGGTTCATAAGCATTAAAATCTCATAGAATTCCAAGAGTTTTGTTTAGTTAAAGCCCAAACATTAGAAGTCCACTGATATTCCAAAAGTTTCTTGTAAGGTTTGGTGGCATGTGGCAGCTTCCATCTGCCCTATTACCTTCAGGCTTCCTTTCTCTATTGAAGCCATGGGACCTGTTTGCCTGACGTAGATGGACAAGACCATTTGGTGTTTCTTTTTCAGACTAAAGATGGTGTCTTCACGTTATCCGCAATGACATCAGGAATCCGGCGGAACTGGATTGAGGCTCTGAGGAAAAGCATACGACCTGTCAGTGTGCCGGATGTCACAAAGTACGTGCACTGGGAATTTTTGCTTTCCCTAGGTCTTCTGACAGCATGGCATTTTTGATTGGTTCCCCTGAGCCAAACATATACTCTGTTCCAAACCATCCTATGTTTCTTTTCTCTGGGTAAATTCCAATATAATTCTTACATAGAGTAGAGGCACTGAAATGAATGGGGCTTAAGGGAGCTGTGATTGAACCTGTTGATCATGTGCTGTGAGGCTGTGCCATGGCCCTTCTATTGATCCCTTGCTGTGAGGCTGGAATGCTGATTCTGTTCCCACCTTGACCGGAGCAAAATATGTAGAGCAAAGCCAAATTTTATGATGCTGTAGACTGAGAGAAGGTACTCAGCCAGAAGTGCTTTGGTGATGCACTTTAGATGGCATGCGCAAGTTCAGTCATGCAGTCCTCCTCTACATGCGTGCACTCCAAAGCCAACACATCAGTGTGAGTGACTGGGACAGAAGTGGCATATGGTGGGGTGGAAGAGTCCTGGAATGACTCACCTCTGCCAAGAGCTGACTCGGGTAGCTGTTGCCACTAGTGGCATGTAGGAGGAGCTGGTAAGTGCGGATGGTCACAAGAAGCAGGTGCTGTTGCTTTCCTTCCCTCTCTGGGGAGCTGCCAGCAGCAGTGGTTTCCTCTTGCCTGCTTGCCCGCCTGCCTGGCCAGCAGCCATGGGGACTGAGGAGTCGCTGCCGCCATACAAGCGGCCATGGAGGTCTCCTGGGAGTCCCACATGGGTCAGAGATTTAGCAGGTGTAGGGCCTTTGGACTGGTGGCCCACACCCCATGGAATGGCCTTCTGACTGAGGTCAGCCATACCTGCACAGCTTTGTTTCAGAAGTGTGCTGAAGACTTTTCAGCTAGCATTGCTGAATGATGAGTCGATTCTGTCTGTCTGTCTTTGTACATTCCTGTGCTACACAGCTCAAGCTCTCTGGACAGTTCGCAGCAAGAAAAACTATAAAAGGCAACATGATAAATACAATATATGTATGTATGCATATGTATATAATTTAATTTCAATTACATAATTGTTATTTCATACTGTGCTTCAAAAAGAAAATAATTTACAGCCACTGTTGCATTGATCTGTTTGCTTTCATAGCACCTTTTTGCATTTTGTGTATTTGTTGTCTCTCAATGTGCAGCAGTTCGTAAATTTTATCTTAACCAATGACTGGAGTGAGGACCCATTGAAGGGACTCCCCCACCCCACTCCCACACCCAGGATGGGCACCAGTGCAGAGCAACCACCTGTTTAGTGGTTAACTGGGCACCGGCATTGCAGTGCTGAACACGCAGTGCTGGTTCTGACCGTTCCTGCTGAAGTGGGCATTCTCCCGGGAGAAGGAAAGAATTCCACAGGCATCTGTTGTGCTGCTTTTTGCATCCCAAGCCTTTTCTCTCAGATGCAGCAGAACTTGAGTGTTTGGCTGCAATTCCAACTACCTGGTTCTTGTGGCCACTGCAGACTTGTTCCTCTTGCATTGCTGTGTGGTATAACGGGGTGGACGGGGCTTGGGCAGTTTCAGGGATTGGGATACGACCGTAGGGCAGGGTGAGACAACCTGCACGGCCGGCTTTCATAACGCTTGCCTGTGCTCTGCTGCTGAGTTCCAGGTGAATTTTCTTCCAATTCTAGGCTGTCTGACTGCAATAAGGAAAACTCCTTCCGCAGCTATGGATCTCAGAAAAGCCCCTTCAAGTCTGAGGAGCAACGGCCAAGCTCAGGATCTGAGGTTATAACCAGGAGCAGCGGCAGGAAAACAGATGGGCAGCGCCATGCTTTTGACTATGTTGAGCTGGCTCCCTTGCAGCAGGGCGCTTTAAATCAGGGGTCTCCACAGCGGACAAGAGGGAGCGTGAGAGCCACGGATGGAGCAGCCAAGCGTGAGGAGCTTGAGCGGGACCTGGCCTCCCGCTCGGAGGAACGGCGGAAGTGGTTTGAGTCTCCAGCCAGCGGGGTCCTGCAGACGGACGGTCCAGCAGGAGACCTCGGCAACAAGGCTGGCGGCCACGAATCTCCAGGGACCCCCCTCTCCGAGGCTCAGAGGAGTCAGCTGAGCGAAGAGATTGAGAGGAAATGGCAGGAGCTGGAGCGTCTGCCCCTGAAGGATTCCAAGCGGGTACCGCTGATGGCACTGCTGAACCAAGGCAAAGGAGGCCACGAGGATTCGAGTGAGGCGCTGGAGAAAGAGGTAGAACTAGTTGTGGAGGGAACGATGCAGTGGCGTGTTCAGAAAGAGAGGGGGCTTTTAAGAATCAAGCGTAGGGTGTGTGGGCGTCTGTCTGTCTTGTGCCTGCAGGGTGTGAGAGTGTGAGGTGCTGTGGTGTTTTACCAGTACAAATGGGTAAGAGGTTGCACAGAATTCCTAGCCTGTGCTGCTCTGACCCAGAGCATTACTGTCTCCCTTTTGGGTAAAGGCATCTCAGGAAAGAGAAGAGCCATCTGTTTGTTTGCTATGTAGAAGTCACAGGAACAAATGGTGGCATTTGCCTTTAGAGAGGAGCCTGTATTCCTCTTTCTTCCTTGATTCAACACCTTTTTGAAGGCCAGGTATGTAGAGATCACAGGAAAAGCTTGTGCTTCCGTAAGATGAGCAAAGAGGCTTGTAACACCTTAAGGACTTAACCGATTTGTTTTGGCTGAAGCTTTCATAGGCTTCTGTTTGCTTGGTCGGATGCATAAAGCGTTAACTTGCATTGGCAGATATATATATATATGCTGGCTGGGGTGAGGATAGGGGATGTAAACTGCCTTATCAGAAGGCACTGAAGTGCAGAAAGTGATGATTGCCTGAGCATTTGATGTCCACAATATGTTCTTGGGTGATAAAGAAGGCATAATTGTAATGGTGAACAATGGTGCAGGGTATCCGTGTTATCACCCAGAGCATATTGAGGCTGGAAACTGGAGAACGTGACGGAATCCGCTGCCGCATAAGAAGTGCTTTCACTGACTTCCACATGGTAGCTATAATCTTGGATTAATAATAGTAATAATAATAGTTGCTTTACAAAGTAAATGTTTAATGGGTCTGTGGTGTGGGTATTGTAGGACTATTATTAAAGACGTTAAAATGAACTTAAGTAATTTTCTGTCGACATGAATGCCCCCCAATGATTGTATGGGGGCAGGGTGCTTGCACATGTATGTTATGCTATCTGTCCCGGATGACAATGCCCTTCTTCCTCCAGCATGGTCAATCTTCTTCTTCCTCCCTCTCTGCCCTCCTCCTTTTTTGGGCACAGGTCCAAGTCCTGAGGTCCCAGCTGGAGTCCTTGCGTGCCCACAGCAAAACAAAATCTCACCAAGATGGGCATGTGCCCCACAGATACATCTCTCAGGTAATGGCGCTGCCTAACACCACGCTGTGTATCTTCTGCCCTTTTCCTGGAAGCTCTTTTGCACCCCGGGCCCCAAAATACACAATAAGTGCAGAGAAAGGCAAACCGGGGTCACACCCATGTGCTTGTACTTTGTGGATCATTGCTGCCATAGCAACCACAATCAGGCCCATCTGTAATCAATGTTAATTATATGTAGCTGCTGTATGCAAGGAACTCCCCACCAAGCTCATGGCCAAAGCTCTCAATTTTGGGGAAAGTCCTGGTCTTGAGCCCTTAGCCTTTGTAAGCATTTTAGCCTAATCATAGTTGGTTTATGCACCCACAAGAAGAATGCAAAATGTAAGTCGGAAGCAAAGAGGAGCAAGCATGGCATAATAAAAAAACTGCTACCAGATATTCTGGTGCAGACACAGTTTATAGATCTGATGCAGCCATTTTAGAAGCTTTCTTGTAATCCAGGATCCTTTTAGGTTGATGGAATGTCCTGTTTAACAGGTCTGGATGGAACTGCAGTGCTTTTATCTGGCGCTTATAGTGTCTATTTGAAAATAACCAGTTTCTCCTTTGACTAATAGGTCATCTGTCTGACTTTTTGAGCCAAACAAAAAAGCCCTAAAAGCAGCTTAGTGATTGCCTTGAGACTTCATTGGGCTTTAAGACCTAGAATTCAGCAGAAAACCCTAATAAGGCCTTTCCCTGAGCTGGGAACCCTCCAGATGCTTTGGAGAACAATTCCTAGTATTTTGGTCATGCTGGTTGGGGCTCATGAGAGCAGAAGGCCAATAACACATAGAGGGACCCACTGGGAAAAGCTGCTCTGAGCAATTTTGCAATCATGCTTTCCTCTCTTAGAGGAATTACTTACACAGCTGGGTGAGGTTTTCTCAAGTCTTGTAGTGCTGAAGTGGCTGCCAAGAGAAAATCTTCCCTCATTGATAGGCACTGTTAAGTGTTTTTATTTCAGCCTAATTCAGTCTAAATAAGGTTCCCCAACCACTTTGGACTTGTAAGATCATCTGGGAATTTGCGTAACTGCTGTGGGCACCATTACAAAATGGCTCCCATGGAGGGTGAGCCTAATAAGGACTCCTAGTTGATGGCGGGCCTTTTAAAGACCGAGTGCCAAACTGCAACTCAAAACCCACTTATTTGTCGCAAAGTTGACAACATGACAATACAACCTGAAAACCGAGGTTTTAGTTTAGAAAAAACAACTCACAGCCTGTCCAAGCAAATATGGACAGAGCCCCTGACAGAGAGGGTTCTGTGTGCCTGCTGTGGCACGCGAGCCACAGGTTCGCCACCACTGCCCTAACCCTGCCCTGGTGCACTCCCCTAACCCTTATAGAGGGGTAAAATACCATTGAAAAGAGGGCGATTTTGAAAAAGCCTTCCTTAAGTAGCTGTTCCTGCACAGCTCATCCTTTCTGTCCATTCTAAACACATTCTAAGTATCAAAATCATGCCAGGACACCTCGTTTTTCTAACCCTAATCCAGTGATGGTGAACCTTTTAGAGACCAAGTGCCCAAACTGCAACCCAAAACCCACTTATTTATCGCAAACTGCCAACACTGCAATAAAACCTGAAAACTGAGGTTTTAGTTTAGAAAAAACAACTCACAGCCAGTCCAAGCAAGTCTGTCTGTCTGTCTGTCTGTGGCAGCGCACTGACCAGCCATGCGAAAGCTCGGACGAGTCGCGGCTAATGAGTCATGGCTCGTGACTTCATCGCCTGGCACCACTACTCCTTTCCAAGCATGCGCATGGCCCCTGTGTATGCTGTTATCCGATGCTCGGCTGCTGGGGTGATGCTGGGGCAACTTGGCTCGCATGCCGACAGAGGGCTCTGCGTGCCCCCTTTGGTACGCGTGCCATAGGTTTGCCACCACTTTCCTAGGGTATGGAACGGGATTCCACGGGAGGTGGTAGAAGCCCCATTGGTGAGGGTGTTCAAGGATAGGCTGAACATGCACATGGTAAGCATGTCATGATCGGAGCCAACTGGAGCCAGGGGTCAGACTAGAAGGCTTGGGAGGCCCCTTCTAGAAGGCTTGCTCTGTTTCTGTGTTTCTAGTCGAATAATGGCTACGGCAGGGTGGAAAGGAGCAGCAAGGCTAGAGGCTGGCAGTGCAGATAGAGACAGAGAAAAGGGGAACAGCTGGAGGAAGATTGGACAGGGCAACAAAGAAATCTTTCCTTCCCTTCATTCAACAGGTGGTCAGTGGCAGGTTCAAGAACAGGAGGGAGAACCTTGTGCCCAAATATTTGTCGAAGTTCTTGTGTTTAAACAAAGCTTTTGAAGAAGACAGGGAGTGGAATCTCCACCCCCACCTCCATGACTGATTCATTAGTACTGTGATAGGGGCCCTGGCCTGAAATTGAAGTACAATGACAACAGTTGTGTGAAAAGCAAAGTAAATTAGGTTAGGTCTTGAATGAATGGTTGGAAATGTGAATAAAGCAGGTTTCATCTGAACGTTAAAGGAAAGCTCCGAATGTTAAGAGCTGTTCAGTAGTGACACAGACTGCTTGGGTAGGTGCTGGACTCTTCTTCAGTGAACATATTTAAGCAGTGATCCTAATGGTTGCATTTCTTCATTAAGATTTGCATCAAGCAAGGGGCTGGGCTAGATGATCTCCATATTTCCTGCCAACACAAAAATCCTGCGGTTCCTTTTAATCTGAAACACATGTTATGGCCATGGTCAAATACATCTTTGAGGAACTGTAGGCAGGAAGCTGGCCTGTCTAGATATGTATATCGCATCTCCACCCATCAATGTTTGCTGAAGGGGAAAGTTACTGCCACTGTGGAAACCTCATAATGCTGTTCTAACAGCAAAACATGCTTTGCTCGAGTGGCCAAATTTTCACTGGCATTCTGTTGGGCTGCCTCTCTGGCTGCTGTTGAAAAGCAGCGGGCTGGCTAATAACTAGGAGAGTTAAAATCCATTGATTGGTACTCTGGATTCCAGAGTTTTAACGTCAGTAGGTACTACAATGCTAGAAAGAAATATGGGCCAGTCCCTTCCCAGTGGCACACCTTCCATTGTGACCTATGTGGTCAATTAATGGAATCAAAATAAACAGTGCAGTATGTCACAGAACTCTGGCCTGCCTGCTTGCCAACTAAAGCTGAGCAAGGAGATTACTGACTTCATAGTTAAACTAGGACAAACTCCCATGTGTTGAGAGAAGTATGAACTAAGTTTGGGAAGAAAACGTTGCTTGTCCTATGCAAATACCCGACATGCTGAGAGTCTTTTTTAGAGCAGGGATTATAGTAGAACCAGGCATGCCAAACCTCTGGCCTGCAAGTTGAACCTGCCTTTCCTGGGACAGTCTGGCGCTTTGGGGTTTCCCCTGTCAGTGGCTTGAGTGTTTCCCAGCTTTTGCATGGTTCCCCCCCCCCCCCCCCGCCTTCTAAGAAACTGAAATGCAAGTTGGGAAAGGTTGCATAACACTATGGTTTAGCCTCATTAGAATGGATCATGGTGAGACTTAGGCTCTCAGCCCTGCTCCTGCCCACACTTGGCTGCAGGAAGGAAATCAACTGCCATTTTAGACTAACCACAGTTGCTTGTGTCATCCAAGCCTGAATTAATGCATTGTTGTTATGTTCCATCATGTTGTCTCCAGCTTATGGCAACCCTATGAATGACAGTCCTCCAAAACATTTTGTCCTTGACAGCCCTGCTCAGAAACTCAAGACTGTGGCTTCCTTTATGGAATTGATCCATGTCACAGTTGGTCTTCCTCTTCTTCTGCCTTGAACTTTTTGTCTAACATTATTATTTTCTCTAATGAGTCTTGCCTTCTCATGATGTGCCTGGAGTATGATAGCTTCAGATTCTTTCATCTTTGCTTCCAGTGAAAGTTCTGGCTTGGTTTGCTCTGGGACCCACTTGTTCATCTTTCTGCCTGTTCAGCATATTTGCAAAACTGCACCATGTTTCAAACATATCAGTTTTCTTCCTGTCTGCTTCCTTCAGTTAATTGCCATTAGTAGAAACGAGCCAACTTCATAAACAATGGTTTAAGGCTGGTTTGCTTCACCTAACTATAAGTAATATTAACTGTGTGAGGCTGCAGTTAATCTAAAATAGAAGCAAAGGCTTCTGAACTCTTCTGTGCAAGTGTGTGATGCTGGGGTTCATGGTGGCTTGTTTTCATAATGCTAAATCGGGCTCACAGAGCTGTGAAGACCTTGCCCACTTCGATCTGACAAGCGAGATGGAAGAGGGTAGGAGGAATACTGTTCTAGCGCTATTATTAATGCTGGAACAGGCATTTTGTTGGAGTTTGGGGGAAGCTTCCAAGCTGTTCCAGCCTGGACTTTAGATTGCAATGAGAGTTACTGCCCCTCAACCCTCAGCCGCCATGTCTGGGACTACTCTTTTTCCTGCTGTGAATAGACCTCAAATTGAAGTCCTGGAAGGTGCAACATATGCTGTTGGATATATTCGCATACTAAAATTTTCAGTACTAGTACATAAATTAAATTTACATAAATCAAAACCCCCACAAAAAAAATATCTCGAAACAATCAGTTTGCCATTCCCTTTTAAGGAATGATTTTCTCTGTCTCAGTTATACTCCATATTTTTAAAAAATAGTGCCCCCCCCATCAGGAGTGTGACCTTATAACTTAATCCCTGAAAACTGTATGGTTTCATGCTGCCTGTTTAATGTTATGAGAAACCTGTTACTACTTTCTGTGCTGACCTACCCTTGATATGCTGCCCCCATATATGAAACAGGGATGAACATAGTAAAGGGAAGCAAGTTGTGGGTATTTACATTGCACCATATAGGATGGTGTTTTAAAGATATCAAAACCTAGTATGGAGAAAATTGAAGGGCTTTTGTTTTCCTGTCATAACATTGAGTATACATAGTTGCCTTAAAATCTACCCCATTTGGGGTCTTCGTGGTTTTGTCTGCCAGACCTGACACTGGTTCCTGGACTCTCCAGAGTTCACATTTCTAAGTGCACAATGTGTAAAGAGAGATAAAAGTTCTACAGCTCCCAACATTCATCAGCCAGCCATATTTGGCTTGGATATGCTGGGAATTGTAGGAGTTTTTTCTGTGTGAATGGGCATAGGATTGTGCCCTGAATCTAGCAATCAGGCTACCAAAAGCTTTTTGTTCTCATTTTCATCTCCTTCCTCTCCCCGCACACCTCAAATCTTACCTGGCAGGAGGCATGCGAGCGCAGTTTAGCAGAGATGGAGACGTCTCACCAACAGGTCATGGCCGAACTGCGGCGGCATCACCGGCAGGAGATGGAACAGTTGCAGAAGGAGAAGGAGCGACTTCTGTTCGAGGAGGCAGCTGCCACTGCTGCAGGTTGATGCCCGTGTCTGTGTGTCTGTGAGATCTCCTTTAGAGTACCATGCTAAAGAATGCACACAAGCAGTCTTTTCTTTATACCAGCTGGAAAATCCTAGTGCCATAAGCCAGTGTTGGGCTCAGATTGGAGAAAATGGGGCTCAAGGCCTTCCCATGCATCTCTGGACCTTTAAGCTCACTGGGTGTCTTTGGACCAGTGGCCCTCTCTCAGACTAACCTACTTCATAGGGCTGTTGTGAGGATAAAATGTGGAGGCATGAACCAGCTTTGAGCTGGTTTTATTTTTATATAAACTTAATAGGATTATAATTATTATTCACTGCATTTCCATACTGCCTCTAGCTGAAGTTGTCTGGATGGCTAACAGCAGTAAGTCATCCATCTAGATTTCAACCAGACCTGACTCTGTTTAGCTTTCAAGATTAGGCAGGATCAGGCATGTCAGGCTAACACACATGCAGTATATAACATATGTGGTGGGGGATTATAGGAATTGTTGTACAACACATCAGGAAGATATCAGGTTGGGGAAAGCTATTATAGAGTTCGATGCATTAGACAGAGAGCTGGGTAGGTCTTTCCGAACCTGGGTGCCCTCTAGAATAACTTATTTTTCCTGATCATTAGCCATGTTGTAGGGACTGATGGGAGTTGTAGTTCAAAACATCTGGATTTGTACCAGGTTGGCAAAGGCTGGCATAGATGTATGCTATGCTATTGTGCTGTATGGCATAGGAGTAACTGAGGACTGGCCAGCAAATTTCTGAACATAGGAAGCTGCATTATCCGGAGTCAGGCACTTGGCCAATCTAAGCCAGTGTTGCACACTCTGACTGACAGCAGCTCTCTGGCACCTTGCACAGAAAATCTTCCTTATCTGCTTGCAGTTCCTTTTAATTTAGAGATGCCTCAGATTAGATTTGGACCTTGTGCATAGAAAGCACTTGCTTTCCCATTGATCTCTGACCCTGCCCAAGAAAACCCTTGCTTCTCCCATTAGTTAGGAAGCAATAAAATGCACCAGGCATCTCAATTTGGTAGAGTTCATACGGGTGCCACCTCCTCTCTCGCTCATTCTTCCTTTCCTTTCCCTTTGCTTTAGCAATTGAAGCACTGAAGAAGGCACACAGGGAGGAACTGAACAAAGAACTGAGCAGGACCCGCAGTTTCCAGAAAGGGGTTTTAGACTCAGATGCACTTCATCAGCAACATCGGTAAGCAACACTTCTAGAATTACATTTTGCCCCTTTGCAAACTTTGAATGTTGACCCCTAGGAGAGAGGGAGGGAGCAATGGTGGGTTCCCACATGCAGGCTGCAGTGCCACTGGTGCTGAAGAAATGGCAAAATGCCCAGTTGTGACATCCTGGCTGCTTAGTTATCTCGGGCACGGGAGCCAAATGTTGCCCTTCCCAGTTCAGTCTTGAGTTTTCCTGATAGCCACACCCCCTTCTCCTGACCACACCCCCTTTCCCCCAGTTGCTGATTGTTTAGTGATTTCCAGGCTTTTATGCAGGTTTTTCCCCACCTATCCTGAAAGGCTTTAATGCCTCTTCTAAGGCAGAATGATCGGCAATAAGGGCTTTCAGCTAAAATATGCTGGCATTTTTTGTCTTGCCTGCTTTTACCTTCAGTCCTACTCCCCGCTACAGTGCAGCTTCCAAGACCTTCTGCAAAACTGAGTTTGGCCCTCACACTGGACTCCCCACCCCATCTTAAGCTTAAATATTGTAGATCTGCATAATATACATCTTCACTGGAAGCCCTACTTCTTTTCCAATTGTAACTGTTAGTGATTGGTCATTTGAGACCTGACTGATCCTTTCTGCCGCCGAGCACCTTTTATCCTCTGGTCAAGGTACAGCTTTTGTAGCCCTTGGGCCAGCGGGTGCTGATATACCAGTGTTGGGAGGTCTGTTGCTACTGGGAGCCTGGGAGGGGAAATAACAGGGAGTCCTGGTGCAACATTCCAACCTCTCCTGCAGATCCGATGTGGAATCTCTAAAGCGGGAGCTGCAAGTGCTTTCGGAACAGTATTCACAGAAGTGCCTGGAGATTGGGAATCTCATGCAGAAGGCAGAAGAACAGGAGCAACTGCTGCAGCGCTGCCAACAGGAGGGAAAGGAGCTGCTGCGGCAAAACCAGGCAAGTGGCTAGGAACTTAGGGAGGTTGCTAATACCAAGTGAGACCATGGGCCCAGCTACCCAGTGTTGTTGACACTGACTGGCAGCAGTGGTTCTCCAAGGCTTCAGGCAGAACTCATTCCTCTCCATACTTGAATATGCTGTGGATTGAACCCGAGACCTTCTGCATGCAAAGCAGGCCCTTGGCCACCAAGCTATGGCTCTGCCTCTAAATATAGGAAGTGTTGCTAAGGGAAGGAATTGGAATGGTGCAGGGGGGGGGCAGCATTTGAGGAAGGTCTTTACGGGTGGGGGGGACTGTTGCAATCACTGTAAATTTAAGCAGCTTTAAAAGTCCTTCAGAAGTCAGGCAAAAAGCTCCAAGTTCTTGCTTGACATTTTATAGAGCAGCTGCTGTTGGGTCATGATACTTGAGGCTTTTGGCAATGGTTTTGTGAAGACTGACAAATGTCTTGTTTCTGAAGCAAGCTGAGCAGGAACATGGCAAGCTGCCTTATTCTGGTTGCACTGTGGGTCCTAGCCCAGTATGGTTGGCAAGGCACTGACTGGCAGCTGCTCTCCAGGGTTTTAGGCAGGGGTTTTTCCAGCTCTACCTGGAGCCACCAGTGGTTGAACCTGGGACCTCTGCATACAAAACAGATATGTGAGCTTCAGCCCTTCTTCTAAATAGCATGGGCTATACTAAAAGCTGGGGAAAGGGGTAAGGAGTCCTGGAAAGATGGACTTATGATTTGTGTCCATTGCCACCCTTAAGCTGAATAAAGCAGATGCCCCAACTTTTGCATTCTTGCCTCCAGGAATTACAGAGGCGCCTGTCAGAGGAGATTGGGCAGTTACGGACATTCATCACAGCCCAACGCTCACAGGATGGTGCTTCCCATAACAGTGAAAGGAACTCTTGTGAGCTCGAGGTGAGGAAGATGATTGCTTTTTGTTGAACAGAAAATCCCTTGTTTTCTGAGTTTCTGTGTCTTGGGTATGAACAGCTGCTTACATCAGAGAGCACAGTGTTTCAGAGTGCCAAGAAAATAGTCATCGATTTGGAAGGCTGGAAAGGGGAGAGGTTTGTGCAATTTCCAGCGGCATCTGCATTTGGAAAAAAATTTATAAACAAAAAAACAGTACAGCAACGAATGAGTGATTCAATCTGGAGAGTGCCTTACTTGGATCTTAATACAAACCCGTTGTTAGTCATGCATGGATTTTCTGACAAGTTTTAGGGCAGCCTTGCTTCCCCATAGGTGAAATGCAACTATTACTTATTTCAGTTTGTATGCCACTACAGTAGCCCATATCTGGGCTCTTTCTGTGGCTCACGACAATGGCAATGGCTTACTAATAAAGGTGAGCTCTTTCACAGGATGGTTCTGAGCGCTGAAGGGCTGTGCTTGCATTTTATACAAAAAGTAAAAGGGAAAAATAATGATAGCATATAGAACAAAGAAGAGCTGTAACCAGGCGCTCCATCAGCAATTGGCATCTTGGTACTTAGGGGCAACATTGTGCCCTGGATACCTCACTTGGCACCCATGAAGCTGTTCTGCTACCCCACACACTTCTTTTGAAAAATTAACACATTTTCACCCTGGCAGCTAGGATTGCTACGAAATAGGTTTCTCATGGCACTGAAAACTTTGGGCTCAAAGGCAGTTCAGTGCACTGCGGCTCAGATCCCATTTTTGCCTTGTTGTCAGTCTTTCTGGCAGGTTACCTATCCTTTGCTATGCTTCCTATGGAAGCCATTTTGTGGTGGCGCCCAGGACAGTTTCTCAATTGCCAAACATATTTTCAGCCCCTGGGCTACATGAACTACAGCTTTGCCTAACCTGACACCCTCTGGATGTATTGGAAAGCAACTTGGTTGGGATGACTGGAGTTCTAATCCAACAGATCTGGAGAGTGCTAGGTTGGGAAAGGATGGTCTGCTCTGTGTGTAAAGCTTTGGCTCTTGTCCTGTTTCGGGTTAAACTCAAAGAAACTCAGAACTTCTCCAGCCGCACATGGGGGTTTCGGCATCATGCAGCTTAACCAGACATGTATAGAATCTCTAGTTTTGCATTTACCTGCTAAAGGAAGACAGCAAGGTTCAAAGGGCACTGAAATTCCTGTTCTTCGTGTGTGTATCCACAAAAACCATGGGATACTGAAGTCCATCTATGCCCAAATTAAAAAAAAAATGTTTACACAGAACTGTGAATGGTTTGATCCCATCTACAGCAGATCTTCCTTCCTTTCAGCCCTTCTTTCCAGCTTTGTTGCTGTATCTCCCTCTGTTGAAACCAAATTCCTTTCCACTGTGTTCATTTTTATGGCTGCCCTGCTTCTACCTTTGATGATTTCTGGAAATCTGCCTACAGATTATGGTCCAGACCAGTGTTTGCAGGACTCCGTCCTCTGAAGTTACATGTTAGAAATTTGATTCTACTTATTTTAGAGCAATGGACCTCTTAGCTGAATGTGAAATTCTATAGTTGTTGCTGAGTAGTCTTGTGAAAACCATTTGATTAATAAAAACAGAGCCTCAGTTGTAACTTGATTTGTCTCGAGTATGCTGAAAGCACTTGACAATGATTTAAAAGAATGAAAGAGTAAAAACAAAAACATTAAAAGTGGCAAAAGCATTAAAACATTAAAAGTTACCTAACTCCACAGTGCTTTGACCATTTGTGCTTGACACCTTTACACTGAACTGAGCTTGGATTGGCTATTGGTGCGCTACTGCAAATATAGTTTTGCAGTGGCATGGTAATGGCCTGCCAAAAGCTAGTCCATGCTGAATTCAGAACCTGAAAGCTGATCCACAGAGCTAGCTGTCTGTTTGTGGGCTACTGCAAATGGAAGTTGCATACCTTCCTCCCTGCCAGTACGCACAGCTGCCACCGGCTGTGCAGTGATTGTGTGAAGAAGCCCTTGGCGTCTGTTCTCTACTCAGGTTGGATTACTTGCCAAACCTGGTTGCACTCCAGACAGTTGTGAGTACTTCGTCCATATTGAAAGCCACTTGGCTTGCTCATGACAATGTGCATACTCCAGTGTCTTTGCTTCATGCCAGAAGGCATTTCAGGACACTTAGGCAATCTCGCTTTTGCTATTTCTCCAGGGCAATAAAAAGAACAATTTCGCTCTTGATGCTTTTCCAGAGCAATACAAAGTTAATCGCAGTTTATTGAAAACTGTCTCCCTGGTTAATACTAAGACTTCTCTCCCTTACTTTTCTCCCTTCTGTCCTTCTTCACAGGTGCTGCTCCGAGTGAAGGAGAATGAACTCCAGTACATGAAACAAGAGGTGCAGTGCCTTAGAGATGAACTACAAATGATGCAAAAGGTAAACCTCTAAGGAGCAACTTGGATTTGCTTGTTTGTAGGAAGAAGGTGAAGTATGTCTTGCTCACATCTTAAAGCAGGGATGAGGAACCTGTTTCTCCAGATGTCATTGGACTCCAGCTTCCATCCTGGTCTCTGGCCAATAGTCAAGCTGGCTGATGGGAGTTGTAATCCAGCAGGATCACTCCTGCCTTAGAGACAGGCACAACAGGTCAGTGTGGCCTTCCCCAGACTGGTTCCTTCCTGACATGCAGGACCATAGTTCCCTTCTCTGGCAGCAAAAATTAAATCCATTATTCTTCTCTTTCTTGCAACTTTTGGGGCACAAACTTTATATATTACGTTCATATCTTGTAAGAAATGCAAGGTGACTGGCGTAACCCTCCTGCTCTGTGTTTTGGGGTCCCCAACTGAAGTGCTGGCTGGGGCTCTTCCAGATTCAGCTCTCCTGTTGCACCATCCCCTTCGCCACATGGGGATGGTGCAACAGGAGCATTCAGCTGGCAGCCTTAGACTGTCTGAATCCTAGCCTTTGAACCAGGATGGATCCCAGAAGTGCTAGCAGAGAGCATACTGGCTTTGCTCTTCAGAGCTCTGGGTAGAGGGTGAGGCTTTGCTTAGGTCCTCCAAGCTGGAAGTGTCCCATCTTTGCCCTAAAGCAGAAGTGGGCCACATGTGGCCATGGTCACTAAAGTTAGGAACAGTAAAAAAGGGAGGGGCATCTTGCTGTCAAAATCCAGCAGCCCATCTTTTGCCATTGTCCAGCTTAGCATTGCGGTGGTGGCAGGAATGCAACCGCTGGGGCAAAAGACTCCCTGACCCACCCAATGCCTCCCAACCCACCCACCTACCACTGCCCTTAATCATGAAACAGAAGGATTATAGTGGTGGGCTCCTTCTCCCCTGTGCATCTGCACCTTCCCATTCTTCTTAATTGCTCTGCAGTGTTACTAGATTTGCATGCCCCCTTTTTTCCCAGAACAGCAGCATTCCAGAATGTCAGTGTACGATCAAAGTTAAATTCACATTACCCATTCACATTACTGTTACCCATTTTTAAATTTTTGTTACCCATTGCAGGCATGCTGTCCAGCCACACTCAAAGCTGTACTGTCAAAATCTAGTTCATAACCAGCACATCAAGGCCTTCCAATCTACAGTCTCTAAGATTCCTTCAGCTTTTAAAATTTCTGTTTCTCACCAAAGGGTTTCTATTACACTAGGGGTAGGGGTTCAGGACACCCTTCAGCCTGAGAGTTGAATTCCATTTTGGAGAATCCTTTAGGAGCTTTATTCCAGTGGTATTTTAGGCCAAAGATGAAAGGGGAAGTGCCCAAAATACCAACACAGAAACATAGAATAGTAGAATTGGAAGGGGCCATGAAGGCCATTGAGTCCAACCCCCTGCTGTTGCAGGACACCACGTTACACCATCCCACTCAGATGGCTGTCCAGTTTCTTTTTGAATGTCTCTAGTGTGGGAGAGCTCACCACCTCTCTAGGCAGCTGGTTCCACATACTTTAGTTTAAAACTATTACTGCCAGGAACTAACCTTTTAGAATGGGGAGATAAATGGCACAAAAGCTGGGAAATCAAGCAAACTGTTGGTGGGTGGGAAGAGGGGGTGAAGCTGGGGAAGGGGTGTGGCCACTTTGGGAATTCTTGGAGGACCTAATTTGGCACCCTGTTCTGAGGTTCTGCACCACTAGAGGAGAATCGGTGAGGAACCTTCAGAGACCTCTGGCCCCCTGCAGTCTGTACTTCCATGCAGCTACCATGTTCTTCCAGCTGTTCTATTTTTTGGGGGGGAGGGGGAGGGCATAGAGTAAACTGAACAAGAGGATTCTCTCAGGGATCTTTCCATGAGCTAAACAGCAGTCTCCGTGCAGTGATTCCTTCCTCTCCCAGGACAAGAAGTTTGCCATGGAGAAATACCAGGACGTCTACACAGAGTTAAACCACATCAAGCAGTGGTCGGAGCGGGAGATTGAGCAGCTGAAGGAGCATCTGCGCCTGGCCATGGCAGCCTTGCAAGAGAAGGAAATGCTGCACAACAGTATTGGCAAGTAGAGCTTGATTAGTCCAAATGCAGAGGAAGGGAGGGTTTGGTGGATGGGGGCTTCTTCCCTGCAGCATTAGAGGACTCCCTTGTATTGGGCATAGGGCCTCCTTGGAAGCTAGGCAAAGGGGTGTTTGTGTGCTCACTTCTTGCTGCAAAGAGTGGCAGGGCAAGAGTGATCTGGGTGAGGATTGCTGTGGGGTGGAGTGGAGAATACAGGCAGCTTAGGCGGCGGGATTCAGCAGCAGCAGGTGTGCTCTCATGGGGGGAACATGTTAAAGTCCTGGAGGGGACACAAGTGGTGCACCTCTGTCCTAAACCTTGCGCAGTGTAATACGTTTCAGGCGTTAATTTCCTTAATTCTTTTTTTGTCCATTCCTCAGGTTAATTGGCTTTGAGTCCCTCACTTTGGAGGACAAAGATGGAACCTAGCAAGCAGCATCCCCCTCCAGGAAAACAGGACCAAACCTCCATTGGACTGTCCATCACATGTACCTGCATTACTCAGCGTGTATTGGGCTGGAACCTAGTATTTGCACCTTCTGGGGATTTTATACATGAAAATATATTTTATATGGTTTTGAGGGGTGGGTTACATTATGGAATCCTATACTATGTTTTAAGCAGCAGTTGACCAGAGAAGTAAACCAGATCCTTCTCCCCAGCCTCCTTTTAGTCATCATAACTGATCCCTCTTCCAAAATCCTTGAGTATATCTAAAATACCAATGGCCACCTACTTCCAATTCTTTTCAAGCAGAGACAGAAAGTCACACACATCCAGCTTTATGGTGAGTCTCCTTGGAAATGACAGCATCGCTTCGTGGTGATGCACCTTGCTGGGAGAATGTTTTACTGATGGCTTTGTCAGAGAAACTGGTGTCGGTCCAAAGACTACACAAGGTTTTTCATTCATGTTCGCTTCCTTTTGTTAAGGATCTGGGACTAGTTGTTCATTTTCACAACCTTGAAACACAAGCAGATTTTTTCCCCATGTTGTTGAAAATGCCTGTGCATCCTACCACAGTGACAGCATCCACAGCATTCCAGAAGCTCGTCTTCCACTTGTATGTTCCTGTGAGGGGCGACTTCACTGCTAATGTCGCCAGAGCCAAATGATGACGGTGACTGATTTCTTCTTTTTCTGCACAGTTATAAACTAACTTAATAAAATCCTGAAACACAAACGTTGGTGCTGCTTGTTTGTTTCTTGGTTTGGCAACAAAAATTGTTACGAACTCTCTCTGCAGCAAATCAGCCCTCTCTAGCTTGGTGTTTTTCGGGTATGCTGGACTCTAATTGCCATCCTTCTCAACCAGCTGGGGAGTTGCATTCTGACAAATCTGGATGGCCCCAGGTTGGGGAAGGCTACTGTACTCAAAGTTACGGTAAGTGCTAGACATGCTATATTCACAGAAGATCACGTTTGCTGTTTTCACATCCGCTTTACCATCACCGGTACCTAGTGCTATTTGACAGCTCAAATCAGTTCACCTATTTTATCTCCCTCCTCTTCAGAAGCTTGTAAGGCTGGGATGGCAGACCATAGAAAGGAATCTTTTCATAGACGATGAGATGATTTGCAGTAAATCAGCAAGTGCACGACTCCCAATTGTTTCACAATGGCATGAACAAAACAAACATCTTAAATCAGGTTGTTAATAGCCTGATCTCCTATAAGGTGCATGTTGATTTGTACTTGTATGAACTTGTATCCTAATATATGACAATTTGCTCAATCTTTGTTGGATTCCCATGCTTGAGTCAACACTTTGTCTCCTTAACAAGAGCCCCAAGGTCCATCTGATCCAGCGTTCTGTTCACAGGGTAGCCAAGCAGCTGCTCACAGAAAACCCAGCTATGGCCATCAAAACTATATGTAATAGCCTCCTCCTTGAATTTGTCCAACAATCCAAATTTAAAGCCATCCAAATTGGTGGCGTATTACTGCATTGTGTGAAAGGGAATTACACAGATCAATCATGCGCTGTGTGAATATGTATCTCCTTTATCCTGAATCTACCACCAATCAGCTTCAGCTTCACCGGATGACCCCCACATTCTAGTATGTGAGGGGGGCACAATGCTTCCTGTTCACTCTCTACACAACATGCATGATTTTGTACACCTACATCTCCCTTGTCTTTTTGCTAAGCTAAACCCAGATTTTGTAACCTTTCCTCACAAAAGGAGTTGCACCAATCCTCCATGTTTTTTGACAATTTTTCCAACTGCAAAATACTCCTTTTTTAGGTGGAGTGACTGCAACTAGACACAGTATCATAAATGTGGTTGCACCATAGATTTGTATAAGGTCAATATAATCTTGTCAGTTTTCTTTCCAATTCCTTGCCTAATTATGCCTAACATTAAGTTTTACCTTTTTCGCAGCAGCTGCCCCCTACAACCCCAGGATCTCTTTCTCAACCAGTCACTGCTAGCTCAGAACCCATCAGGTTATATTTGAGGTTGTGATATTTTGCTCCAGTGTGCACTGGGATTCCTAGTATCCTTTTTAGGAAAAGAGATTCTACAGGCCTGAAGTCTGCCTTGCCTACTGTTCTGGTTGGCTGGTTAGTAGTATCCACCATTCCTTCACTTCCAGGAACAGTAAACTCCAGTGGTGAGTGCCAGGAGGACTGAGCCAAAGTGAGAGGAATCAGCAGGGCAGGCACCTATATCAGTGGGGCTCCATATGGAAACAGAAACAGAGCAAGTCAGAAGGGGCTTCCTGGGCCATCTAGTCTGACCCCTGGCTCTAGCTGGCTCCACTCATGACATGCCTACTGTGTACATGCCCAGCCTATCCTTAATAGAAACAGGCATATCAACAGCAGCTTTTATTCTGAGCTTTATAGGAACTATACATGATGGTGAGCCTGTTTTGGGAATGAAGTTCAAAACAATGGGTAGCTCCTATAAAACTTGAGAAAAGCAGCAATCGACAAGGAGCTCTACTAACAGCAGTCACCAGCCTCCCCTGGTTACTGGCAGGCTTGGGGGATCCCTGAGTTTAGCAGATCATTACAGGTGCCATGCTGTGCATGATTAGAAAGAAAACTGATTCTATGCTGGATGGAGCATGCTGGGACTTGTAGGCCTTTTTTCTGTTCAAACATCCACAGGGTTGTGCCTTAAAGGAGCAACATTTCAGTGTAAAAGGTTATGAAGGCTGAATAATGCCCCAGAGTCATGGAGTGCTGAGTTGGGGAAGGAATGGACTGTCCTTGACTACCAGTAGGTGCTATTTCGAAGGAGGGCCTATTGGCCAGGACCCTAAACAGAATCAGCCCTCTTAAGAGGTGAGGATGTGCTACAACATTGGTTTGTTAATGGTTACACTTGCAAGCTAGCATGCTGTGTAGGGAGCAGAACCCAGGGAATCAAGGCTCTCAGAGACAGTGCTGGCACTTTTTGGATTAGCAGGTGCCAGCAGGATCTGGCACCCCCACAGGCTTCCCTGTTCTCTCTGAGCTTCACTGAGATCCTCTTAGTAGCTGTGGGGGAATGAAATTTCTCAGCAACAAAATACTTTCTTGGTTATAATACAGTCCTTTGGAGTAGCTTGGTCTGCAATGGACATTCTATGGAAACTGCTAGAGGTTTGTACGGATCAACGTAGTTGCCTGGATTTTGGGACCCTGCTGGGAAGCATGGCTATGACTGCCACGAAGAGCGCTTGCGCTTCACAATTTGCAACTACAGAATGTGATGTGCAAAAATAATGGGTCCCGTTCTTCAAAAGGCCTGATCGAAGTGTGTGAACAGGTCGCAAAACCACAAGTTTTTTCTTTCTTGCTTTCATGGTAACCTGGCCTTAGGTTGCTTTCTGTTAGGTTGCTTGAAGCAACATTAGGAGATACTAATGTTCATCTTCAGGCCTCTCTAGCAATTGAATTACTACTGAATTATGGCTTTCTAGTTAATGTGAAAATAATAGATTAACCCACAATTGCCCTAAATATCAGGAAAGTGTCAGGCTGGGGATGGCTGCCTTAACTATTTGTACAATCTATGCCTCTTATTGAAGGAAGATACAAGTATCTCACTTAAAGTCTTTGTTAGCAATTTGCTGCTTTTGCATTTGTTCTTTTCTGCTTACTAGGATGAGCTGGCCTCACTAAAGCTTCTATTCACCACCATGAGGGTTAGAAACATGCTCCTTAAAAGGTGTGATCTTTTGAAATAGGAAGTTGTGATGTTTTAATGTGCTGAATTATGTGTATACTTTTGATGTGTGCATACATCAGAAGCATACACAGTTCTGCTTATGATGGCTACTGGATTAGTGTTCCAAATTTATCTGTACCCAAACACCAACTACTGTTTTCGGATCATGGCATTGCCCCTTAAGTAGCAGTGCAAATGAGTCATTGCTGCAGTAGCAGTCGCAGCATAGGATTTGGTTGTGTAGAAAGAAATTGCTTTGTTCTGAATATATAATCTCCCTCTTTTTTGAAGTAAAAGCTATATCAAAAAGCATTTAGTGTAGTCTAAGTAAATGTTCATTTGTGTAAAACCTGGCCATGTTTGGGGCCGATGGGAAGTATAATACAAAACATCTAGAGGGCACCAGGTTGCCCACTGCTGGTGCAAAGCATCCTGAGCATTTTTTTTCTTTAGCTGGCCTAAACAGAAATTGGAGGTAGTGCAAGCCAATTAACTTGCAGTGAGGCCAAATGAGCAACCTGGCAACTCCGTGGTTTTAATTTCACCAGTGCCATGAGCAGTATCCAAAGGGTGCTTATGCCCTCTCATTCTTTTGTGCCCCACCAATTCCACTGTGCAAGCAGCCCACACTGCTTCTGCAATAGCAATTTAGTGCTTCTGGGGGGGCAACCAAAAGTTCCTGGGAGAAGTTGGTGGAGCCAACATAAGGAGCCTGCTTCTTCCAGAGACAAATGCTGCACACTGACACCCCTCAGAAGAATTAAATAGTTAAGGCCACTTGAGCAATGGAATTCTCAGGGCTTGCCACACATGGACAAGAATTGGTGACTCAGTTTGCTAGCAGGGAAGCAGCATTAGTTGCTGCATAAGATGTCCAGAGGTAAATAATTCTCTCCTACTTTGAGCTTCTTCTTGAAAATTTGCAATATGTAGATTGTACTAACCCATCTTGTTGTAATAATATAAGAAAATGTATGCAGAGGATGATCTACACATAAAATACTAAAAATATTTAAATACTTCTTAAAAGATACTGTCCTTGTCCTTTCCATTTAGTCATTGATGAGGGGTAGGATGTAGCTGGGAGCAGTGGGTGCTCTAACTCTTCCTCCTCGCACATGTTAAATTATGGTCTGCTTTCCATGTCTTGCCTACCACACCTTTCCCAACCCACAGCTTCTTTGATGGAGAAGTAGGCGGTAGCATCTACTCCTTGCCATTGTTTGGCCCAGGACAAGAGGCAGGCAAACAAGTAGGCTGCCCTTGTGGAGAGAAGTCCAGGGGGATTATTGGGTCCAGCAGTGGGTCGAAGTGTGAGATATCAGCAGCTGCCCAACTATGTCTTCCATTGCCTTCCAGAGAATTCCATTGCTCTGATGCTGATAAAGAGTAACCTGCTGCCGTGAAGGGCAGTAGCCAGCATGGAAGTAAATTTTAGCTCCTAGTCTGGTCAGCTTCTGTACATGAAATTGGGCATGAGGCAATTATCACCATTTTCGTGCTTCATCATCATGTGGTAATAGGACTTTGAACACAGCCATGGCAGAAATACCATTGTTGCCAAACAGAAACATTCTGTCCTCCATATTTTATTTTTTTTAAACCACCATCAGCATATCTCATGAAGAGCTCGTGGATTATGTTAATAATTGCATTTGTAAAATTGCCGAACATTAAACCAGTGAGGCTTGTGTCCACTGTTTAATAGCAGTCCTATTTATTTCAATAGGTCTATTCTAGATAGGACTAACTGGACACAATCCTGTATTTACCTTTATAGTGGATTAAGAGACACCAGGCAGTTATACCTAAATCTACATTTTCGCGTTCCTCCTTTAAATGAACGTTTCCTGCCGCAGCCAATACAAGCTTACTCTACAAAGACTGCAATATTGGTCATACCGACTTGGGAGTAAGTTCCAATGAATTCAGTAGGACTTCTGAATAATCATGCAAAGGATTGTGCTCTAAGGGCGCTAGCTGGAGAATACTGGGAATTGTAGGATTTTTTTTTCTGTTTAAACATGCGCAGGATCGCGTCCTAAATAAATTAAACCGGTCTTTAAGACCCATTCCACACGGTGCAGTTCTTTCCTAACGCACCAGGCGGTACTTCTTACAGGAGAAACTGAGGTGAAGCCTCAAGTTCCGGGAAAACCACAAACGGGAAGTAAATACCACATGTACCAGCAAGAAATCTTAACGGAAAACCACTGAGTGGCTTGGAGCGGTACAACAAAGGGACCGAGATGTTGCCTCCTGCGTACAAGGTCGGACTCTCCACAAATGCACTCTAGTCTGCACGTAATCCCTGCCCAAGGCAAAGACGTGTCTCGCTATGCGCTCTGCCGCCGCGGCGAATTAATGGTTACGTTCGTGTTTCTTTGGTAATCCTGCGTTGTCGTTTCTACAGGAGAACACGCATCAGTTCGCTGACTACATTTCCCACAAGCCACCGCTCACGCATCCTACGGTGGCTCTTTTCGGTGAAAGCTTAACCGTACCCCTCTCTGTAAAAACTAATCAGCTGACTGAGGAGAGGCTCTTCAAAGCGGCGATGACTGCTAGCCAAAAGGACCGTCCATGGGCTACTGTGCACGCGATGGACCTTGCGAGGATCTTGCTCAGCTCCATCCGAAATATTTGCACGAATCAACTTGTCCATGCTCTTTCCCGAAGCGAGAAGACGAAGAAAACATGTTATCACTTCTATTGTTTTTACTCCAAACACTCTTTTAAGTTTCTGAAAAATATGTAATACAATTTTGCATGCACTGCACTTTTTACATTTATGTTGTCTTCAGAGATAACAATCTTTCTCCACCAACAAATACCCTTTAAGTCTCTACTTTAAAATATTGGGGTGGCTGGGTGGGTGGGGGGTGGGAAATAGAAACTTACATTTAATTCGCAAGCATGCTAATCTTTTCTCCTATTGCATTTCTTCTTTTGGTAGAACACATCAAAAGGAATACGGCTCCTCCTCCTCACAAAAAAGTTTCTACAAGGCACGTTATCGCCTCTCCCCATCAAATGTGTGTGTTTGTTTAAACCGTGTCGCTTTTGATAAATACACCAGGATAGTAGCGAGGGTGGAAGAAGGGAGAAGAGCAGCCTAAGCCCGCAACCTGATCTCTTAGCCAAACCAGCAAACGAATCCCCCCAAACACCTACAGTTCAGAATGCAGGAAAAAAATCGAAAGTGGTAGGGGCCGATCTCTCCCCGCGCCCCCCCCCCCACCGCCGCCCCCTCCACGGTCCTCTCACTTTGGAACTTGCTGAATAACTTTCTTGTATTATTGGTGGGTTAACACCAAGCCTGCCTCTGTCCGTCGCCGAGTAGGATCCTAACACTCTCCCTGCATGCCCTTTATATTCAGATTAGTGTTTTCCCTTTTTCGAGGTCGATAAACACCTGTCCGATTACTTTTTGGAGGAAAGAACCCACGGAAAAAATCATACGAAGAGCAAAGCTATGGGCACTTCAAAGATATGGAGGTTGAATTATTCATATTCTAGTCACAGAACTGCACCCTTTATTATTATTTATCCTAAATAGATGCCACAAATTTAAACTTCTTAAGCTGAGCTGTGGGGGAATAAACGTAGGATGAGGGGGGGGGCTGAGATGTCAAAGTGCCTAGATGTATATTTTTGTTGCTAGTATTCTCCGTGTTGCTAGGATGCCAGCTTGATTTTATCATTTATTTTTTTAAGTGTTCCAGAGGTGTTTTTACTTTCCCTCTCCGGAGTTCTTCGGTATCGTAGGCAGTCCGCATCTTTAATGTTGCTACTACGCTTTTTAAACAATTAATATCTTTATTAAGAGAAAGAAGAACACATGAGGAGATGGGAGGGGAAAAAAAACAACCTCAGTTCTCCCAGCAAGATGGCGATGGCACGTACATTTAATCTCCTAACAACAGTTAAGCACTCCCCCAGGACTGGGAAATTATAGTTAATACATTTCGTGAAGCTGCTCTTTATCCCACCCGTCACGTACCCCGACTTCCCTCCCTGACGAATGATGTTAAGAAAGTGTTTTTAAGCCAAAGGATCGACTCCACCTTGAAAAAACTAAGCAAGAACAAAACAGCCTATGTAAATCTCCATAGCACTTTGGTGGGGTGCAAAATTATTGGGGGAGGGACACAGGTGCAGCCCGGAAGGAATAAAGGCTATCTGAGAAGGTGCCAGTACCTGGATGCAAAAAGAAAGAGGTGCCGTCTCCCCCTCCCCAATTTTTCCTTCTTATATAGACAACTAGTTATTCAGAACCCACTGCAGCCAGTGAACGACTTTTTTGGGGGGACAGGGGGTGAATGTAGCAAGCTGCCCCCCCGTCCCTTTCCACCCGCTTAGCAGAGTCAAGGTAGAGCCGGGGGACCCTGTCTCCCCCAAACCCAAGCAGGGGGCTGCCAGGTACTCCTTGGGGGAGGGGATGGCTGCAAACTTCCCATCTAACAAACAGGAAAGTTTTTGCAGCGCTGGGGCTCCGAAGAGGGGGCGGCCGGAAAAGGGGGACCACGGGATGGGGGGCAGGGGTCCCCCCACAGCCCCCCCACCCATGGGGGAGCCACTCCTCCCCCCCTTCCTGGGCAGGTCTGAGCTGAGTCTCGCCTGGCTCGGGGCTCCCTGTGTTAGTTGCGGTCTGCTCCTGGCCCCCCTGCGCGGTTCTCGGAGCGCCCAGAGATCCGGGATGGGGGTCTCCCGGCGGCCCAGGGGTGCCCCTTGTTGCTCGCCTTTCGCCCCGTCCGGGTCCCCCTTGGCTGCTTCGCTATGGGGGAGCAAAGGGGAAATGTCGCTGCACCCCACTCGCACCCAGCGCCGTTTGGGGCGCCCTGAGGAGGCGGGGGACGGCGACAGAGGGAGCCGGCCGCGGGGCCCAAGAGCTCAAGGACCGGAGCAGCCGGCGGCAGGGCTGCCGGGCCCAGGAGCTGCCGGGAGAAGCGGGAAAACGCCGCTTTAGGCGGCGGAAGAAACACAGATGTCGGCGGCGCGGCGCCATTCGGGGCCTGAACAGGCAGCCAGCAGCCCTGTCCTCACCGCGGTCCGCTCCTGAGCGCTAAATACCCGGATGCGCCGGCTGCTGCCTAGAGAGCCAGACACAGAGCAAGAGGCAGAGGTAGGAGCGTAGCCGAGGCTGGCAGCAGAGGTGGGGAATTGAGCCCCAGAGAGGAGGAAAAGAGGCGATCGGGGGCTGGGCTTTGGGCACCAAGCGGCGGCAGTGGGCGCCTGCCCAGAGGAAGAAGCTTGCAGGCAGGCAGGCAAGCAAGCAGGCAGGCTGGCCGGCCGGCCTTAGCCAAACCTCCTTAAGTTTCAGAGGGGCATTCCCTGGGAAGACTGCCCTGACCACACCCTGCCACCAGCTGCCTGGAAGAGACCTCAAGGGGGCGACACTCCACTTGTGCATTTTAAAGAATCTGCAAGAATTGAGGGGAAAAGTTGGGCACAACTCATCAACGTGAACCTCAGCAACAAGGCTATTTGGAAGGAGTCTTGTGTGCCTAAAGAAAGACTTTTAGGAGCAGCCCAGAAGCCAGGTAACTTTGACAACAAGCTGCTCTTCGGAAACGGAAATTGCAAGACACAATGACTGAGAACTCTACTGCAGCACCTGCTGCTAAGCCCAAGCGGGCCAAGGCAGTCAAGAAGTCGACGGACCACCCCAAGTACTCTGATATGATTGTGGCTGCCATCCAGGCTGAAAAGAGCCGGGCTGGCTCCTCCCGTCAGTCTATTCAGAAATATATCAAGAGTCACTACAAGGTGGGTGAGAATGCTGATTCCCAAATCAAGTTGTCCATCAAGAGGTTGGTGACAACAGGTGTCCTCAAGCAGACGAAAGGGGTTGGTGCTTCAGGTTCCTTCCGCTTGGCCAAGGGAGATGAACCCAAGAAAGCTCCAGTTAAAAAGGCCAAAAAGGAAGTCAAGAAGGCTGCAACCCCCAAGAAAGCAGCTAAGCCCAAAAAGGCTGCTGCCAAGTCGCCAGCCAAGAAGCCCAAGCCTGCGGCAAAGAAAGCCAAAAAGAAGCCCACACCTGCTCCAAAGAAAGCCAAGAAGCCAAAGACTGTCAAGGCTAAGCCAGTGAAAGCATCAAAGCCTAAAAAGGCGAAAGCATCGAAACCCAAAGCAAAGTCCAGTGCAAAGAAGTCAACTAAGAAAAAGTGAAGTGCAAGTTTGGGACCTTCTTTCTTGGACATCCTTGACCTCTACTCTGTAAATAGATTTCTCCTTTATTCTCTACACCTTTCTAGTGCAGCTTTATACAAGACTGAACTATTTTCCGCCCATAGTAGTTTAAACCAATTACTTAAACACCCATCAATATGGACAGCTCCATTTTTTGGCTTGGATTTTCTTTTTCAATTGTAATTTTAAAGATATTTTTGTGTGCTCATCTTTCCTCCCTCTTAAAGGTATGCAATACTTGTTTGTCTTTTAAGCATGAGGGAAGACAGTCTGATTGATAGGGGATATTCTTAATTTTCCCACTCCTTGGAGAAGATTTTAGAAAAAAAAAATGAATAAGGCCCCTTAAATTATGGGTTTGAGAAACAACCATAGTGGAAGCTCTTGGGTACCTGCAACTGAATGCTGTAACTTGCTTTTTTTAAAAAAAGAAGAAAAATAAGGCTAGCTTTTTTCAAGAATGAATAAGACTCAGCTTTGGCTGAATGCAAGTAGGATGGTGTGTTTTTAGCTCTTGTGAAGATTGGATGTGAGGTATATAAGCTTTCCACTACTTTGCTCTTTCAGAGGAGGATGGTGTGCTCTTATTATAGGGGGGAGGGAGATTAAATAGCATCTGTGAAAAAAAACTTGATTATTTGGATTTCCCTCTTTAAAAGCTGTATAGGTTGACCACATTGATCTGGAGAGATTGAAGATTTTAATTCCCCTTCTTCCAAAGAATTTTTTTCAAAGGCAAGTGGGGTTTTTTCTGACCACTATCTTGGTCTTGGCAACTTCAAGGGAAGGTGTTATCAAAAGCGTCCTTTATTTGCCATCTGAGTGCTTCCCAACCCTACAGTGCCTGCCTCCTAATTCACAGCTTTTCTATTAGAGTCCTTTATCCACAGTATGTACTCCCTCCCAAGTAATCTTTACTTTTTCAGAGTGGGTCTCCTGTGAGGGAGGGAAGAACGAATGTAGAGGGGAATGGACATGTAGCCAATACTGAATCTACTTTGGTAGGTTTATGAAGCTGTGTATTCTTATTGCTTAGGTTGGGAGTGTTTTTTCCATGGGGAATGGAAAGAAATAATTTTCAGTACTCCAATTAAAATTAAGTATGCTTGTTTAAACAAAGTAAAATTCTTATAGGATTGATACCTGATTGTCCATTTTATTTTATATGTGTCATTTTGTGGAAGCATTTAGCTGTCTTTGTAATTCTAGGGTTTAAAATAAAATTTTAAACACAAAAGCATAGGCATCTCTTTTTACTATCCTTTGAAATAAAGCTTTGTAAAACAAATGTTTCGAATAGTAGGATGAGCCGTGCGTCCTCCAAATGAATGGGCGAATGATTCCTGTTCAAATCTAAAACCAAATGGCAAAAAGACCCTTGTACCAGTAACGAGAAGATACAAAAACTTCTTTCCTCCTAAACTATAAAAACACTCCTTGAGAAATGGTGAATAATTTCAGTGTGTGACAGGCTGGAGAAGGGAAGCTTTCTCTAAGGAAGAAGATCGATGTGATTAGCCACCAGATGGCAGCCCAGGAAGGATTGATCTCACTTTAGAAAGAGGCACCGTTTGTGTTTTGGTGGGGAAAAGGCCAACAATTTGCTCCTTAATGCCTTGGCTGTCCTATAATCGGTCATACTTTCCTTTGCAAGCACATGGGCAATGTATACACTGGCATTTGCAGCAGTCAGCACTGTATAATATACATGGGTATTTGTGAGCACATGGTAGACAGGCACCTGGAACCTCCAACTGTCTGCTCCTTGGGGTGTGACTCTTCCAAACTGCTATTCTGTATATACAGTACATGCGGTAGATCGTTACTGTGCAAAACATCAGATGGCCCTACAGCACATGTTTGTAAGGGAGATAACCTTGCTTGTGGTTTGTCACTTCAATGAGAATTGGGGTTGTGGGAGTGTGTTGCATAGTAACCCTGAGACACATCAACCAGGCTGCAAGCTTTAGGGGGGGCCACCTGGCAGAGCACCTGACATTTGGAATGCAGGGTAGGTAGATTGGCAGAAGTGCATCTGATTCCCTAAACTACCCATGCAGATACATCCTTCGGTAGAAGCAAAATTCACTGAAATCCGTGACAAGTTTACAAGTGGAAATGCCAGCTGGAAGAAGGCTGTGCAGGAATCATCCCTACATTGAGATCACACACTCAACAATGTGTCACACAGATGGGTTTCCTGCATTTAGTGGTAACTTACTGTTGAGTGATTTGACAGTTGTTTTGCGAACGCAGCAACACTCAACAATGATTGATAACTAAGAACCGTTCACAAATGGAATCCATGCTTTTTTGTTGAGTTGTGCACTACGGATAGCAAGCATGCTTTGTTAGAACAGCTTAATTCACATGACCGCTCACATGGTTCAGTAACAACCCATGCTCGACCCATACTCTGGCTTGTCATATTGTGTGACCTAAGACAATAGGATAGAGAATATGTGGCCCTCTGGGTATTGGTGGATGGCAGTTTGCAACTACTGTAGTCGCCATAACCAAGGTGAAGAGATGACAGGAGTTGTAGCTGAACATCTGGAGGGCCACATGTTTCCCATCCTTGATGTTCCCATCCCAAATGTTCCTCTGAGGGGTGTGGGCAGATAATTAATAATGGCTATGGTGATAAATAAAGGAGGCTTTTCTGGGGCCTTCAGCACTTTGTCAATTAACTCTTCTCCCAGGCATGCTATAAATAAGGGAGACTCTACATTGTTCTGTCAATCACAACTGTTTCTCAAAAAAGAGGTAGGTCCCTTTTGGAGGGGGACAATAAAGGTGTGCCTTAAAAATTAGGTACTTGAACATTGTGCCAGCTTTCTATTTCATATGATACCACATTTCCAGCTAGGGTGCTGTTCTGCTCTGCCCCCCTCCCCCAGGTGTCAGTTCATGCTTTAAAACTGTGTATCATGGTTTTGAAGAACAACAGTTTCTCAACCCTGAGCACCTGCAATTTCACTAACAACCTTGCTGCTATAAAAGCTTTAAGTCCAGGTCTAAGATTACATAGTGAACTTCTGCCCTCAGTCTTACCACCATAAGCCAGTGTACAGTACAGCAGTCAGAAAGTTGCACCTGTGTTCAAATTGCTGCTTGGGCTACTACTTCTCAGATTCTCAGCCTAATCTACTTCACAGGATTGTTGTGAGGATAAAATGGAGAGGAGGAGGATCTTGTATCCAGTTTTGAATCCTTGGAAAACAAAGCAAGATATAAGTGTATGCTTAACAGCTTGGGACCAGGATATCTAGCAGACTGCCTGGTACATTCTTAGCCCACCTTTAAGATCATAAGAGGCCTAACAAGTTTAATATTCCAAACCTAAGAGAGTATTTCCATGTAATACCTCAACAATGCTTTTCTTGGTTTTTCCACCCATCTGCTGGAAAAGCTCATGCAATCTGGAAAGCAGAGACGGTGGCATGTTTCAAAACCCACCTGAGAGTGCACTTACTTTCCCTGGCTTTCCATTAAACCCTGCTGTTCAATCTTAGCATTTCTTTCATTAGGTGTTTAACCTTTCCTGAAGTTTCTATTATGGATTCTTTGCAGCATTAAGATCAGCTCCTTTATACACATGGGGATTTTCCCCCCTAGCATTTTTCATCCCCTGCCTTTCTGTATCTGCCTTTACACAAGCAGAAGGTAGCACTGCAGTATAGTGAGAACTGCAGGAATTCTGAAGCTTCTCATAGCATACCTTCCAGATAATAATGGCCAAAATCCCATGGAAAATGGGAGACTGTGGAAGGTGAATATGATGTAAAGCACCCACAGACTAGTGTGAGTGAGGAATTATCATGTATATGTAGAGAAGCCCATACTGTTATTAGTGCTCTGTACTAGTATTGTGAATGGATTTACTTTTAATATTGCATTTTCAATGTGATGTTAATATTTATATTGTAGTAAGTGGTATGGAAGTATCACCTATAAAATAAATACATCAATAAATTATTTCTTTAAATGTTTAAAATAAACATTAAAATAATGTTTAAAATTTATGAACTGCTTAGGGATTTTATTTGATTAAACTGTAAAAAAAACAGTGTGCACAAAACCACAAACATAGCCAGTGTGGTGTAGCCACTAAGAGTGCGGGTCTGGCACTCAGGTGATCTGGGTTTTAGTCCCCACTCAGCCATAGAGCCAACTGGAGGACTTTGGCCAGTCACAGAATCTCAGCCCAACCTACCTCACAGGATTGTTGTTGTGGAGATAAAATTGAGAGCAGGCAGAGAATGATGTAAGTTGCTTTGAGTACTTTAAAAGAAAAAAGGTGGCATATAAATCTAATAAAACATAAAGGGTCCATCCAGTCCAGTAATCTGTTCACAGGATCCCACAGTTCACAACCAACCAGCTGTTCACAGGATCTCACAACCAGGCATGAACGCAACAGCGCCCTCCCACCCACATATCCAGCAACTGGTGTCCATAGGCACGCTCCCTCTGCTACTGGAGGTAGCATATCGCTATCAGGAGTATCAGCCACCAATAACCTTCTCTTCAGACGTTGGTCCAACCCGGTTTTAAATTGGTGTCAATAAACGGATCAGCACTAACACATAAATATGCCTGCCTGCCTGCATCCAAATGAATGAACGAAATGAATGAATAGCGTCCCGCGCGCCGCCTTTCGCGAGGCTCGGTTCCGCCAGCAACTACTCTCGCCTGCCTTTCCCGTGTCTCTCCACATGAACCCTCTGATTGGTTGCTTTAGGGAGCAGGTCCCCGCAGCCTTCTGATTGGCTCCATGAGTGCACACCTCCCTTCCGTTTCGCTCTCGCTCTCTAGCTGGACGTGGAGCTTGATCGAGCGATTGCCATGTGGTGTGGGCGACTCTTCTGCGGACCCCGTTTTGCTCCGCTGGGGCAAATCTTCCCCTGGCGGGAACAGTCGGCCTTGGCCCAGCTAAAGCAGGTGCTGGAGGGAGAGCTCGAGGGCATTCGAGGCGCTGGGACCTGGAAGAGCGAGAGGGTGATCACGTCAAAGCAAGGGCCCCATATTCACGTAGAAGGTAGCCAAGGAGGTAAGTGTGTGATCCATTTAGGGTTAATGACTCGTTCGCGCTCAGGTGGAAAGCAGCTAGGAAGAAGGGAAAGCGCTTTGGTTAGGCGTTACCTTAAAAAAGAAAAAAGCAGGCGGAGGATTATTTTGTGGCAGCCCAGGAACAATATGATCATCTTTGTTCTTGGGCTCCTGGGTGTGACAGACATTGAAAGCTGCCCTTGTTGAATTTTTGTAAATGGAAACCTTTAGAAAGAGAGCGTGGTTTGCCGAAGGCCTTCAACCCCTTCGCAAGCTCATTATGCAAATAGGATTGTTGCTTCTACTGAGCTAAATGGATCGAAGAGAATATTGCCGAAGATTCTCTTACATCAAAAATCGTATGTGCATGACTGTAGCTGTTTTAATGTTGCAGCCCTTCCAGTGAAGTCTTTCAGCAGTTCCAGTGAAGTCTTTCAGCAGTTCCAGTGAAGTCTTGCGACACTAAGGATGCAACCCTGCATATGCTTATGCAGCATTTCTTAACCATCGCTGGAGGTGTGTGACTAACATGAGAAAGTCTTAAAAACATTTTAACTTTAATATTTTTGTCATGTAAGTCACACTAATAAGTCATGTTATTCATTTATTAATTTTGTATAAAAGTCGCCTAATAGCATAATTTGATTTGATTAACTCTCACTCTGGGAACCATCATATATGCACCTTTGGAAGTGCTCTTTTAAAAATCATGTGTGTGTCACCTTTGATAGGTGTGAGATACAATCTGTAAACCAAAGAAATCCTATTTGTGTCCTGGAATGATGAGTAATGCTAGGATTTTTTTAAAAAAGCATTTTCTGTTTTTTACATGCACAAAAGGGTTGGAATCAGCTTTATTTATTTAAAACATCTGTATGCCACCCAATTGTGCCACAGCACCTCTGGGCAGCTCACAACAAGTCGTAGTTAGAATAAAATTAATGAAATCAGAAATTTTCAAGTTAATCACATGGAAATTGAGGAGTTTATTTCATTCAAATGGTAGTGCTGTATGATAAAAAGCAGTTGTACAATATAATTAACTTTCAATAAATAATAATAGTCTAGCCAAGAATGAAGTTGAAACTGGTGTTGAAAGGAGAAGTGGCAGGGAGTGTTTACATAGCTGGGATAATGTGAAAACATGGGTTGTTGATCTAGGATTAAGAAAGAATTAGAGGAAAATACAAAGGGTTTTAAGTGTAGCATGCAGCTATGTTGATCAAAGAATGTAGCACTTACAGTGCATTCTGGTTTGGCTAGTTTTTGAGCATGCATGCGTGAGAGCACGTTGGCACATTTTCTTCAGATTCCAACAACAACAAGGCTATTCATTTGAACATTTTGTTCTATTAAATTGTGCTGTCAAATTTTGAGGACCCAGTGGGGACTAATTTGGATGGTAAACTTTGTATCATTGACTTTGAGACTTTACATGATTGGGCTAATAGATGCTTATAGGCAAAATATCAACCTTAGAATAAATATCAATTATTTTATTTCTTTGTATCTTTTCATCCTATATGGGATTCCAGAGATGCTTATAAATTAAAATAAAACATGCAATGTCATTAGGACCATGCTGCTATGTTTGGGGATGGTCTGTCTTGGGACATGGCAGTTGGTGAGACAGTCTCAGGTCCTTTCTCCTAAAGGACAGGGCAGAATATGTGCAGTTTGGGGCACTGAACTCCAAGAAGGACATAGCCAACTTGGAATAAGGTCTGAGAACAGCAACAAAGATGTTTAGCAGTATAGAAAACAACCCTTGTGAGATGTAGAAAGTTTGTAAGGTCTTCAATCCATTGCATTTTAGGAGATGTGCAGTTATCCTTTCAGTGCTGCAACAACAGTCTTTTCATTGTCAGAAGATCATGGAGAATCCATTTCTGTGGCTATGCATTCACTTCCAGGTAGCATGTAGATCATTTAAAAAATCACATGCATCAGTAAAATGTTATGGAGTGTTCCAATACAAAACAAATCCAGGCAAAGACCTCTTCCCAAAGAGGGGAAACCACTGGACATGACCTTGAAGTTGACTACTGACAGTTAACACCAGGTCAACAGATTAACCAGACATGCTGGTCATCTGTTCACAATCTTTTCTACTGTAGTGAGATGTACTGTGTTTTTATTTGAAGTGTAATAACCCTGCATCTCTACATATAAATTAAATTATGCAAATTGAATTCAAATCCACATCTAAATTTTTTTGCTTTTTAAAGGGTCTATATGATTTGGGTCTAATTTGCTGGTGCAGCAGTAGTGGTCATGTGAATAACCAGAAAAAGCTCAGCATATGACGCTCCATGAGCTGGAATAGTTCTATACTTCTGACCTTGTGCTTTATATGTTTGCTGTGTTTGTTTTATCCCTTCAGCTCATTGAGTCATGATTTCTTGATGTGCTTCCAAGTGGGATGGCTGACCAAATGGTGTGAAGAGGGGGAAAACACATCATTTTTGGCCCCTGTAGTAGCTGCCAGATCATGTGTGTGGGTGTGAATACCAAAACTGTTTGACTCCTTGTCAAATATCTTTTGAATAAAGCTGTAATTTTTTACTTAAGAACAGCACTGTTTTCACTCTGTGTCCATGCTCAGACGATTTGGTAAATGCACACTAGCAAGATGCTCTGTTGAACTTGGCCCCAGGTCCCAAGCAGAGGCCCACACCAACAGACCTGCCAGAACCAACCACCACAGCAAGCAGAAACCTTATGCTATGAATATCACTGAGTCTTGTTCCCTTTGGTCCCATGCACACCAGAATCCTCCAGTACTGATCCAAATCCTTTAAAATCTGAAACTGGCACCCCTACTTTTAACTATTGGGGAGAATCCTTAATTTGTGCTAGACTACATGGTTTGCATGTAGAAGTTCCCAGCATGTCTGCTTGAAAGGATCAGGTAGCAGGTGACAAGGTAAGAAGCCTGCCAAAACTCCTAGAGATCAGCTGCTATTCACAAAAGGCCATAGTAATTTTGATAATCCCACAGATTAAGGTAGCTTCCCGCATTCCTAGAGTCAAAGTGAGAAACCTACAACTACTTAAGTTTGTGTGCTGCTTAATATCATGTCCCTTCTTCCCGCTAGCTTCATTGTGGTTATTGTTGCAGATATCCTAAATTTTTGTGCCAACAATTACCTTGGACTCTCAAGTCATCCAGAAGTGATCCGTTCTGGACTGGATGCCCTGAAGAACTATGGTGCTGGCCTGAGTTCTGTCCGTTTCATCTGTGGAACACAGGTAGGAAGGAGTAGGAATGTGGAACCTTAAGTTGTCTCTCCTTTGCAAAAACGTAACTATATTTGGTGTGGAAACATGTGAAAACGGTGTTATGTCTTAATAATAATCCTGGGGACAATGTACTTGCCCGTATTTTCAAGCCTGATGTCTTAAGGACTCAAACCAGGATTAAAAAAGAACTAGGATTCCTGGTTTGGATCCCATCTTGATGAAACGTGATTATAGTCGCATTGATAAATGAATTAAATTGTGTGTTTGCCACATTGGCAATAATAGTTGGAAACGTCATAGTCCTTTCTTTGTGTTCTCTACAACTTTTTAGAATATACACAAGGATCTCGAGGAGAAGATTGCTTGCTTCCACCAGAGAGAAGATGCGATTCTTTATGCCAGCTGCTTTGATGCCAACGCTGGAATCTTTGAGGTTCATAGCACTCTCTCTGTAGGGGGCTGGTTGGGGTTGGCTTCCAGAAAGTGACAAACAACTCTCTTTGCTCTCACATCTAGAATGGTAGACCTGTTGGTATGTTGCATAAAGGCAACTAATTTTTATAGCTTCGGCATTTATGGGCTAAAGCTGATTTTATCAAATGCAGATACTAACTTCTGTTGGCATTTTGTGTGCATGCCAATATAGACAGAAATATAGAGAAAAATGTAAACAGTAAGGTCAGATGAAAATAAAATGCAAAAGTGTACAATCTGTTAAAACTTAAATGTATGGAAAATAAACACTCTAATCACTCACGAGAGCCATAATTGATAGCACAAGCATCCCAGCCTTGCAGTAAAAAGAAAAGTTGGAAAGAAAAGTGCCAGAAGATTTTAGGACAGCTTGTAGAATGGCTTTCTCATTTTGTAGTTTTACAGGAGAATAGTCATGGGCAGAACAATCCTATTTTTACCAGATAGTGTCTAGGGAGCCATAGGATTCTTTGGATTCCCAGATGTGATGTTGGAAAAGCGCTTCAGCCTCAGAGGTGGGCATTTGTGCTTGGATTGCCCTCCCCCACCCCTGGCAGCCAGGTAGATAAGAACAGTGCTGGCTGCTTCACAGAGGCTGCAAAGGGCAAAAGGACTGCAGAGACAAGATTGCCTCTGTGCTACTCCCACCCTGCATAGGTTGCCCATAATCCTCTGTGCTCAGAGGTTTATGGGCATCCCCATAAGTGTTGTCCATTCAGACTTTTAACTGAAGCTATGTTGCTCTTGTAAATTATTTGTACATGCGTTTTGTTTAACTGTCCTAATTGTTTCTGATTATATGATGTTTATATGTGTTTTATTGGTATTGTATCCTGCTTTGGGTTATTTCATAATGAAAAGTGGGCAATACATTTTCTGAAATGAGATATGCAGTAAAGAGGTGCTTCCTGTAATGGTTCAGGCACTGCTGACCCCTGAAGATGCAGTCCTGTCAGATGAATTGAATCATGCCTCCATCATCGACGGGATCCGGCTTTGTAAGGCCAATAAGTATCGTTACAAACACATGGATATGCAGGACCTGGAAGCCAAGCTGCAGGATGCACAAGTAAGTTGGTGCTCTTGTCTTTGGCTGTTTGACAGCACATTGCTCCACATCAAGGTTAGAGCACTGATTTTTAAAATGTTCCTTCCTACAAACAGTTTTCATTATTACATATATATGCCAACTTTTTTCCCTTGGCAAGGAACCCAGTACTTACATGGTGCGCCTTCTCTTCAACTTATCCTCAGAACAATTCCTTGTGGTAGGTGAAGCTGAGTCAGTGACTGGCTGAATGTCACCTAGGAGCTTCATGTCCCGAGTGAGGACTAGAACCCACATCACCTGAGTCCAGCACTCTAGCCATTACACCGCAGTGGCTCTCTCGGGTTCTCTTTGTTTCCCATGGCTCACCTGGCACTTGCTCTCCTGCACAGAAATACCGTCTGCGGATGGTGGCAACTGATGGGGCATTCTCCATGGATGGTGACATTGCCCCCTTGAAGGAAATCTGTAACCTCTGTCAGAAATACAAAGCCATTGTTTTTGTGGATGAGTGTCATGCTACTGGATTCCTTGGGCCCAATGGACGGTAAGGAATTGAATTACTCTCTTTTGTCTCAATTTCTGGAGCTCAGGGCTTTAGCAAAGAAAACTGATCTGCAGTGATTGGTGAGAAAAGTTGTTAAGGTTTATTTTGTGTTAGATTGTTTTTGTCCACAGGGTCCTCAAATTGGCATGCAGAAGCTAATCTAGGAAATACAAAATACAATATAAACATAGTTACAATATGATCTGTAAAAACATCAATAGCAGGAGAAAACGTGAAATCAGGAACCAGAACAAGCAGTTTAGTTATTATAAAAAGTTGGAGGCTCCTTTTGGGGCAATGACAATGGTTGGGTTCAGACAATCATGCCATGTAATTTACAAAACATTTGGGAGAAAGGTATACCATGATTCCAATACTTAAACATCCAGTTGCTTTGAATCCACTTGTGATTTTTCTTGAGGTCTTTGAAGAACAGATTAAGTTGGTCAGTCAGTCAGGAGTTTGTACAGAATTTGCTAAGTATTGCCAGATTTATTACTGCTAATAAGGGTGTGGATCCATTGCTCATACACTGAAAAAAGTGCTGAGTGAAAATTTGGAAGATATCCAAGAAGTTGAAATAAGTGGATGTTTTAAGAACGCCAAAGCCAGATGTTTGAAACAATTTGGCTGCCCTTCTTTTGAATAAACAAAGATAGATAAAATGCAGACAATAATGAACAACTGCTTTTGCAATTGTTATAGTATGTATGCTTTGGACAACAAAATTAAAGTGGCTTCCAGTACGGGAGCATCTTTTGTCATATCCCTTATTTTAGTGTTGGCAACAGGTTAAAAACTGTCATAATGGCTGTACCAGTGCTCCACATATCCCTGTATCCTCTCACTGGCTGCCTCAGAGGAGGTGTAAAAAGCACTGGGCAGTGATGATATGATTCTCTCTTGACCTCTGATACGTCAGAATTTGGGAGCCCTTTGCCTATGAAGCCTTGTGCCCAGCACAGGCTAGCAAATAGTGGTTTGTGTTCCATTAATCTGGATGGCTTTTGCATGTCTGGTTGCACTGTCCTTTGGCGTGTTCTTACTCTGTTGTAGCAGTAAAACTGCATGTGATAGCTCCGCAAGCTGGTTTGGTGTTGTAGTTATGGTGTGAGGCCTGTAGCTAAACTGCCTAGGCTAATACGTTTATTCTTTTCTTTAAGGGGCACTGATGAGCTCTTGGGAGTGATGGATCAAGTCACTGTAATCAACTCGACACTTGGGAAGGCGCTTGGGGGAGCAGCAGGTGCAGTTTCAAACTGGCACTGTCCTAGCTAGAAACTTGGGGGAACTACAGAACCATTTCTATCAGTGTTGCAACTCATGCCCTGCTTTTCTCTACAAATAGAAACCCAAAGCAGCTTGTGTCAAAAAGAGTTTGCCAGAGATCTCTCTCCTCTTCCATGCAGAAGGTTTGGGGGACACAGTGGATAGTTCTGTGGGCTAAAAACTTAAGTGGCTGGCTACACATTGAAGCAGGGGCAGGGAAGGAAAAGCAAGCTGCGAGAATCAGCAAGTTGCAGGGCTGCAGAGATCATCTACTGCAGTCATGCTGCCTAAATATGGTGCTATATGTCTCAGCCGTATCAATCAGTACACAAAAATTATGGGCCTGCCAGAAAAGAGAAAACTGCTTTGGGCTAGCAGAGAAGGGATGTATATCTTTGTCCTTTTTCTGGGAACCTGCTGTATTTCTTTGCTAGGTGTGAAGGAGGGGGCCTTCCCAACTCTGGCAGCTTGATTGGTTTCTTCGTTGGGTGCAGAAAGACAGAGCACTCCATCCCTCCCCTGTCAACCTGTGTTCTCACCTGCACCTCATCCTGTACTCTCACCTGTGCATACTAAGCTGTGTGCTTAAGCTCCCTGACTGATCTACCAAGTAGATCTCCATGGACTATGTGGGGAAAGGATGTTTGGGGGCAAGCTTTGTCTTGCAGTATGACTTGCCAGAGCTACCAGGAGTGCCACCCTCTCTTCATATGCTAGCACTGCAGGCTGGAGAATGAGCCAGACCCCTCCACTGAGCGCATTCAAAGGAATTCTTAGGGCTGGGGAACAGCAAGTCCTCCTGCCGTCCCATCATCCTGTTTCTAGTCGTGTCACCACGGATGCCAACCTGCCCTGCATAACACCATGCCAGGAGCTACAAAAGGTCCCTCGAGCAGCGGTGCAGAACTTCAGGCCACGGGACCAATCCAGCCCTTTGGGGTTCCCCAGAAGACCATAACCTGTTGCCCTGGCCACCTTCTGGCCAGTGGTGGTTTACCAGCTGGTGTGCAGATCCCCCATTCTATAAACCGTTGAAGTACTTCTCCAAAGGTTTTGTTACTGGCAACAAGAACTTTAAGCTAAACTGTGCTGGCCCTTTGGTCCTGCCCACCACTGGAACACAGCCCCCGAGAGCACCTTCAAAATGGGATTTGGCCCCTAAGTTCAGTGTGAGGTGAAGCTATTGGATGGTCTCTCCTGCTCTAAGATCCTCCAAGAACAGAGTCTGGTAACTCATCAGAGTCTTGAAATAATCTCCCGTCTTTGCTGCCTGCCTAGGATTGCAGAAGCCATGCGGGGACAGTGTGTCAAATACTTGGCAAACCACAATGCATGGCTGTTTGGTGGATCACAAGCTTAGCAGTCCTGCCGTGTAATTGTGATGATGGTTTTTATTTGCAGGTGGGTATACAACTGGCCCCAAGGCACTCATTGACCTCCTGCGCCAACGTTCTCGGCCTTACCTCTTCTCCAATAGCCTGCCTCCTGCTGTTGTGGGATGTGCTTCCAAGGCTCTGGATCTTCTCATGGAGAGCAATGCCATTGCACAGTCCATGGCTGCCAAGACTGCACAGTAAGGGAGGACGTCATTTATCTAGAACCTCTGCATGCTTCCAAGGTTGTTTGTAGTAGACAGGGAATTCATGTCCCTCCAGACATTTTGGCCTTTAATTCCCATCAACCCTACAACAGTGCTAATGGATCATGGGAGCTGTGACCCTTCAGTTGTTTTGGCTTATAAGTGGTCCGCTCCTGGGAGTCATACCCTTCACTTGTCTGGCTCCTCCTCTGCATGGGGAATACAATCCTTTTGGCACAGGGACTGAGGAATGCCTTGTGGTTAGTCTGCCTGCCTCTGGCTGACAGGACTCCATCTGGGTTCCACAGAGATTATTCCCTCATTGGGTCAGCCAGTTTTGTAACAGGTAATAATATTTCCACAAGTGCACCTTCTACGTACCAGGTTAAAAATAGATTGCTCTCCATTGCTTTTTCTTAGAAAATTATTCCTTTCTCCCTGTGCTCCTCTATTGGGAATACTTTCTCTAAAGCAACTGGCATTACCTTACTCCTTGGTCATCGGCCATTAAATAAGCCCACTGGGCTGTTCTGGAGAGGTTTGCCTTTTTTAAACTATAGATGTTTTGTATTTCTGTAAAACTTGTGGGATTCCTAGAACATCCTGGCACTTCCCTCTTCCTTCCCAATGATCCTACTTGGTTCTATAGTTGTTGGCACTTAACACCTGAGCTTTCTTAAAGGGAGTGCTGTCTATCAAAGGTATTTCTCTGGCACAAGCTAGGAAAAAGTAAAATTAGTATGCAATTTCTCTCACACACTCAACTCAGAGAGAGAGGGTTGATGTGTTCATATAATCTATAGAGATGCCAAGCCCACAAGCCTAGGCTTTCCCACAGTGAAGGTTTTCCTCTTCCTTGCAGGTTCCGAAGCAAGATGGCAGCAGCTGGATTCACCATTTCGGGCAATAATCATCCAATTTGTCCTGTGATGCTGGGTGATGCTCGGTTAGCCTCAGTGATGGCTGATGACATGCTGAAGAGAGGTAATCAGTTTGAGACAAGGGAGGCTTATGTAGCCCATGGTATTTTTATTCTCAGATATACTGCCCAGTCAGTCCTAGGATTGCCTAAGGTAGCTTGCATTACAGTGTCCCCCAACTTAACCCCAAAATGGTAGAAACCCGGGGGAGGGGAGAAAATTGCATCTAGAATGAACATTTTAATCCCTTTTTTTTTACCTTTCTAATGCTCCATAGCTACTCTAGATCACACAAAGAGAGAGAGAAAGCCTGGAAGCAAACAAATGTTGAGTTTTTTGATGTTCTGTAACCATTCTTGACAACACTTAAATGCTGTTCTGACAAATGCCTTCTGGCATTTACAATGCTGTAGATGGGAGGTGCAGCCTGCCTTGGAATGATGGAGAAAGAGAGTGAAAACAGTTCCCAAACTTCCCAAAATTGGACACCCTGGGTTTCAGATCTTTGTGTTAGATGGGAAGGTCTAAGTGGCCCCTTCCATTGTTTGACAGCTATCTCAGTCGGAATGCTGGCCCTCGTATCCCCATTTCATTTCATGTAAAGCCAATCTCAAGCAACAGATAGAATCAGTAAGCAAGTCAGGGAAACTTTCTGGCTGCCCTTAGGGAGGAAGAGAAGAAAAACCTGCTGAGCTCCTGCATCAGGAGAGTCAATCCTTTCCCCTTTGCCCCACTCACTACTGTTCCATGATGCAGACCTTCTGTGACATACCTAGAGATTCTTGGACGCAGCTCTTAAAATTGCCACAGTGTTCAGTGCTACCAACAACACAATCTTAGGACCATGAAGCCAAAAAAGTGTCCAGTTAGTTCAAATGGACATGGTAAAATTCCCCCTTAAATTACTGTTTTGGCCTTCATTTTCTTTTTTGGATTAACAGGTCACAAGGTTTCCGTGGCCATAAAAGTCATAAATGGCAGAATTCAGGATCTAGGTCAGTCTTTCCAAAGCTGGTTCCATTCAAGTATTTTGATTACAATTACCAGCATCAGTGGCTGACTAAGACTGATGGCAATTGTAATCCAAAACATCTCCAGGACACAAAGTTAGACACCTAGATATATCAATCACTTTTTTTGCTCATCCTGTCTCACTATTGGACTCCAAAGCACACAGTTCCTCCTGGCCCAAAGTTCAGTTAAGTTTTCTAATTAATTAAACCCTTCTTGCTTCTGTTCACTTGTCTCCCAAGTTTTTTTTCCATCACAGGAGGAGTGTAATGGAAATTCCTTAATACCTTGGGTTCTGAGCATTCCATGACAAAATCCCAGCTCAGCCAGTCCATTGGATGTTCTGGCACCAGAACAGCATCAATTACCTCAGCTTTTGCTCATGTCATTTACCCACTGCCTCTGCTAGGCTTCCCCCCACCCACCCCAAATTTTCTTCATTGTGCTTTTTGAAATTGAAGCCAAAACCAAAACAAAGGGGAAGAAATAAAATATTGCAGTGTTCTTACTGAAACTTAAGTGGATCTGTTGCAATGAATATGCTATATGTCGGTGGTTGCTGTGTGTCATCAAATTGTTTCTGACTCACGGTGACCCTGTAAATGAATGCTCTCCAAAATGCCCTAGACCTGCTCAGCCCTGGAAACTCCTTTATGGAATTGATCCATCTCACAGTTGGTCTTCCCCATAGTTGGTCTTCCCCCAAGATGTCTTGGTGGGAGCCATGCTGTGCCAGTATTCAGTATTTTGTTCTTTTGTTGGCTTTTTTCCTTGCTCAGTTTCTGGTTGTTTTGAATTATTTTCTTTTTAGAAACATAGAAACAGAGCGAGTCAAAAGGGGTCTCCCGGGCCATCTAGTCTGACCTCTGGTTCCAGCCAGCTCCACTCACGACATGCCCACCATGTGCATGTTTTGCTTTTCTTTTCTTTTTTTTCGTTTTTGGTATTGTGTTTGGAAACTAATACACAGAATACTGTATTATGTGTATGTGCTTTTTGTTTCTGACTCAGTGGTCCCCAAGGTGGTTTGCATGTTTTTGCTAGTCCCAGACTGTGGAAAGGTTGAAAACCACTGAGATAGTCTGTTTCCCTGATGTTCTTTTAGCATTTCTAATCTAGGTTTGAATTTCCCTTCGATTTCTTGAATCTTCTGGAAGAGATTTCTTGTTTTGTTTTTCCTTTTTGTTGCTGTATTTCCTTGTTCTGGCTATTGTAACAGTTATTTTTGCCTCTACATGATAGTTGCTAAAAAGTTGCTTTCAAGATTCTTTTGCTTGTGTTTCTTGCTTTTCCTTAGATATTGTGTTTCATCTGTCATATCTAGTTTTGTTTGTTTAATTTTCACTACAGGAATTGTCTTTTTGCATTCTTCCCTAATAATGCCTCTGGTTTCAGTCTGCAGTTCTTTGACTTACAGTCAACTGAATTCAGTATTGCCACTCTGTTACTAACATGACTTCAAATCCTTCAGGGATGTTATTTAAGTTGCATTTTGACACTATTCTGTTAGTGATCTTTTTCAGCTTTACTCCAAATTTTGATATTACTAGTTCATATTCACTGCTACAATCTGTTCCTGTTCTTCTGGCAGTGAGAATGAAGTTTCTCCAATTATGTAGTTTATTTGATTTCACTGGTGATGTCCATGTGGACTATCTTCTGACTTGTTGAAGTATGTATTTGTTAGAAACAGATTTTCAGTTTCACAGAATTCTGTGAGTCATTCTCCTGCTTTGCTTCGAACACCTAGGCTAAATTCTCCCACAATGTTTGTTTCTGTTTAGTTTCATACTTTTGTCTTCCAGCCAGCTAGGCTTATCAACATGTCTTGCTTTGGTGTGTTACCAATTTCATCCTGGATGTTTGTATAACATTTTTGATTTCTTCTTCAACATCTGTTGTTGGAATGCAATCATGAATGATGGTTATATTGGCAGATTATCCAAGAAATTTGATACTATTTGGTCAGACTTCACATTGTAACTCATTACTGCCAGCGCTGCATCTTGTTTCACTATTATTGCCACGCTGTTTCATCTGAGTTTGCCATTTTCCAAGTAAAACACTTTGGGTTTGTCTGACTGAAAATGTCCCATTCCAGTTCACTTTAGTTTGTTCACACCAAGTATTCCAATGTTAACTGTTCCATTTCTTGATGGTTTCCCATTTGCCTTGAGTCATACTTCTCACATTGCATGTTCCAATTGTATATGTTGTGCAGTACTGGACTTCATATTCACCTCGGTGCATGTCAACTGCTAGGCTTCTTTTCAGCTGCGATCTCATTTTTCATTAGCAGCAGCACTGTTCATATTTAAGCATTGCTCTTCCTCAGTAGCCATTTGAGTGCCTTCTGACTTGGGTGTCTCATCTTCTGGCATTATCTCTTGCTTCATTTTGGATTGTTTCATCACAGGGTTTTCAGGATAAGAAATATTCAAAAGCAGTTTATCGATGTCTTCTACTGCACAGTACTAACCAGAGTTAGTTGGTAGGTCATTGTCTCTGCAAGATCCTCCACCGGTGTCCCCTTCAGCTACTGCACGGTTGCTGCCCTTCAGGAGTTTCTCTGCTTCCATTACCATCAGAGTTATCCCTACACATGTGTTGATTGCTCCTGAAGAGGGTGGTTGCATCTTACTTTGGCATCTCAGCTTTCACCGCCCTGCCTTGGGCAACCCCACTAGGAGACCAGGCTAATGAGATAGTCTGGCCTTCTGGTGGCATTGCTCTTGGCTTTGCTGTCACTGTCAAATCCTCTCACCAAATTAAGATGTGCCTCCTAGAGGAGGCAGATGTATACATAGCAGGACATATTACTGTTCTTAGAGATAATTATTCTCCGCTAGGCTTATCCCTCTTTATCTTATTAACTGCATTTCTAAAAGCACTCCAGGCAATTTACAAAATAAAGATAAAGTAATAAGGCATGCAAATACATTGAACCATAATATGTCATCCAAAACAGCTTCAGAATAAACCAGAGCAAAAACCTGACGGTCATCTGAGTGGGATGGTATAAATTGGTGAACTGCAACAGCAGGTGGTTGGGACCTGATGGTTGTCTTGGCCCCTTCCAACTCTACCATTCTATAATTCTATGACAGCAATTCCCCTGTTTCTTACCAAACAGGCATCTATGTCATTGGATTCAGCTACCCCGTGGTGCCCAAGGGAAAAGCTCGTATCCGGGTGCAGATCTCTGCAGTTCACAGTGAAGAGGATATTGATCGATGTGTGGAAGCCTTCACTGAAGTGGGCCGCAAACACGGAGCCTTGCCTTGAATGGCTGAAGACGGAACATGAGTTGTGCCTTTTGGAACATGGAACCGCAAAGGAGCAATGCTACTTTTCAGAGAGATAAAGGTGGCTTTGAAAGAGGGATCACTTCTTTTTCAAAGGATTCTTCATCTCTCTGAGAAGTAGCAGTAATTTTTGTGTGGGAGGGGTATACTCAGCCCATGTTTACTTGTGGTCAGACAGGTTTTTCTTTAGCTACCAAAACTGCCTTTTTCAACTAAATGTGTCAGTGGAATGAATGACGTACACCTCACTACTCTCTTAAACTGCTTCAGTGCTTCTTAGTTCAGACAACATGATCATCCACAAGCCCCACCACAACGTTCATAGAATTAGTCTTAGACTAAGCAGGTGTACTTGTCCTAAAATCAACAGATAATATACAAGCTCCTTTCCAGTGGCGCTTAGATCTTGTTTAAGACATCTGGATGGGCCCCAGAGCCTGCACTCTTCTGGTTCTCAGCATATGCTTTAGTGGCCATGGCATCACAGGTATTTCTAAAAGCCTTGAATGCAAGGCTGGTCATAAGGTGCAGTGAGGTTAGTCACCATAAGCAGGGGGTGCAGAGGCAGCTTCTCCCCCCCCCCACATTTCTCTCTGTTGGAGGACAGAGCTGTGTGTTCCAGGTAGCCTTCTCTGCCCCCCATGCATTATCCTGTTGTCTTCCGGTGCAGTGAAGGACATTGTTCTTTCAGCAGTCTCAACATAACATTCATCTGCCAACATCTGTAAATGGAATGGAGAATGTATCATTTTGTCCTTCATCTCCTGTTTAACAGCCCTGGCTGCCTATCCTGGCCCTGTTCTGCAGAGTTCAAGGCAGCAGGATGGAAGTGATAATTTGCACTACTTGAAAAAAGTATTCTTTTGAAAACCACCATTTTGCTTTGGTCTGATCGCTAGAGGGCAGCTTTGGAACAATCTGATTGTGTTGCTCATGCACAAGCGAAGAAGAGACAAAAGAACATGCAAGAGCTAAGCTGTCTCAGTATTTGATTACACTTAATTATATGAGCCTATCATTTTGATGTATTCATGGCTATTACAATGCACCACAGAATGCTAAAAGAAGCTCAACCAGCTTTGCGGTTCTCTGTATCCTAGTAGCTAGTTTTGCAATATAATCAGATTGCAAAAGGATGATGGAGAGAGAAGCAAGAATGTTCTTCTTGAATGTTTCTTTTTAACTTATATCGGGGGTAGCCAACTTGGTCCTTCAAATGTTTTGGCTGACAGCTCTCATCTGGCCTAACTAGCATCATCAATGATGAGAGTTTTGGGCATCCTACAGATAGTTCTGGTGCACAAAGCTGCCCTACATTAGAAAAAAAAAACTCCTCTTTCACACATGCTGCAAAGTGGAGTAGGATCAAACTCAACACATTCGTTCAATGCATCCTGCACACTGTGAGAGAGAGACATCGCAGGAAGCATAATGCTACAGTGAGAGTGGTAAGGAGATCTATGTCCTTCAGATCATGTTAGAGATAAGTTCCAATCAACTTCAGCCATCATGACCACTGGCAAGGAATACTGGGGGTCAATTGTCTAACATCTGGAGGGCTCCAAGTTTCCTGTCTCTGATTTAAGCATATCCATTGCAATATGTCATACCCCTTCTTTCTCAATATAAGCTATTATGAACAGCCCATAAAAGGTGGGTATCAGTCTGCAAAAAATACCAGCAGGCATGTGCAAATTAACACAATTGCAAGGTTTCAAATATACAGCTTTTTAAAAAACATCTTTTGCTTCTTTATTTTTTTAAAAATCAGTCTTTGCAAGTGCTTAATGCATTAGTTGAAACCGTTTGGTGAAACATACTCTCCCTTCCCCACCCGCAAGTTTTTCATTGCTTAAGCAGCTGTGGAGTGGAAAACACCAGTTCTGTTCCCTCTGCAGTAGCTTGCCAAACTGCATCACTTCACCCTACTGGGAATGGAATGAGGCTTTAAGGGAGCGCTCCCTTGCATGTCCAGAGAGTGGGGGGGGGGAGCCCTAAAAGTCCCAGCATTTCCCAGTCCACATGATTTGAGGAATTCTTCCTTCAGGTCTCCCCTCCTTGCTGTTTTGGGGCTGCTTGAACCCTCCTGCTCCAGAAGCCAGCTGCACTGCTTATTGGATTGGGCCAGCTCTGTGCTGAACTGAAGATGGAAGAAACAGGTGATGCAGCTTCTGCAATTGTGGCCCAAGGAGCAAACCTCTAGTTCATGGCTGGTATTGGCAGTAGAGGGGTGGGAAAGGGACACTGGGCAAGAGGCGCTCGATGCTTTCCCTTCTCTGGGGGTGTGCAGAGGTTACTGCTCTTTGCTTTGCCACACACGAGAGGTCACGTGAACAGGAAGACTCGGCAAGGGAGGAAAGCAGCAGGTAGGTGGCCAGTCACATGTGGCCAAAAAAGGGGAAGTGTACAAGAAGAATCAGTCGGGAAGAAAAACAGCATGTAGGTGGGCTCTTGCACGTTGCCAATTTTAAAAAAATGGAAAACACATCACTTAAAAGATGGTTAGGGCTCTTTATCTTGAAATCAGACTTGAACTGGGACAGCCCTTTAAAAAGAGGAGAATGCCTTCAAGTAGAGGACTGAGCTCTGTAAACTAGGAAGCGTGGCCACCCAGTCAGCAGGGTCTGTAGTCTCCAGGAGCAGCAGGTGCTCAGTGATGCTCACGTTAGCCCAGGATATCGATTAATTTTATGACTTGTGTTTTTGAAATGTAAGATGGGCCCTTGGAGAGGGTGGATAGGAAGCTCCAAGAAAGGATAACAGTCTGAGGAAGTGGGAATCTTCTGTCTTTGGCAGCTTAGAACTGAACAGGTTGCACAGTCTCTTGATGAGCCATATTGAAGTGACTGGTGAGTGACTGGGGAAGCTGTTAACTCTGGAAGAGTCAAAATGTTTCCTGAAGCAGCAGCCAGTACTGCTGTTTTGCTAACATGACACAGCAGCTACTAAACGCAATGGAAAATAGTATGGCTGGTGCAGCTGGAAACTTCCCTGAATGATCATTTTGAGGACTGGCCTGTGGAGGTCAGAAAGGGAAAGTCCTGATGATCTACTCTTATTCCTGCAGTAATAGTTTATGCTAAATTGTTGTGCTAGTGAAAACTATTTTCCTCTTGGGACTAGTAGGTGTTCCTGCTACTGCAGCATCTTTGGAAGAGGTGGATAGTGTTGCAGACCCCGTGTTTTGATTCAACACAATGATGAGATGGTAGTTCTTTGTCCCAGCAGTCCTAGGAGGGATTGGAAACCTGTGTAGCACCTTGTTCAGCCAAATGCAATTCTGTATGTAATGACAGAAGTAAATCTCACTGAATTCAGTGGGACTAGTCCTTGCACAGGAGCACATAGCATGACTCTCTTAGTCTGCTTTTTCCCTACAACCCACTTCCCAGTAAATGTTGACTGAGATTCTAGCAAACTAGTCACTCTTCCTCTGTGTCACCTTACCTGCCCATTCCCTACAGATGCTCTCTGCCACCTTAATTAAGAGTTCTAGAGAAATTAAAAGCCTGTTCATGATCGTGTGCCATTTTTCTTTGTCCTAATACAGGGATTTATTCATCTGTGGATTTTTATTTTTTAATGGACTGTCATGGCTTCCTCTGTGTTCTGGATGAGCAAGTTAAATTTGCATATTGTGGTATTCCAGTATAAGTTGGGGCCACTCCAAAACATTTCTGCCTCTTCTCAAGGTTGTTCCTTAGAAGATGAGCCAGTGTTAGTTCTTCGTCCTCTAGTCTAAGGAAGTTATCCTGTCTGTGACTTTAGGATGAATTCAGATAGGCTCTTTCCTATTCCTTTGCAATGTCATTGTTACATTAATTTTCTAGTCAACAGATCCTCCCACACAATAACAGATCCTCCATGCACACACACAAACACACAGGACTCTACTGCATATTCTCACTTTGAACAAATCTTTGGTGCAAGGTTAGACGTGTGCACATCTCAAAAGATGGGAGTAATTTTTTTTGGTTTTGCTTTTTACAAGTAGAGTCTGTTCAAAGGAGTTTGAGAGAGACTGCTTTGGGAAATATAACTTTCCCCAGAAAGTAGCACTTTAACTTATTCTAGCAAAGCAACTGCTTGCTAGTTTCTCCATGAAAGCAAATGCTTCCTTTGTACCAGGTGATGGCCTTCAAGAAATTCAACCGTTGATTCTTTGTGGAGGTTAATAAAGAAAAATAATTGTTGCAGACTTGAAAATGATCAAATTGGTTTCAGATATGTTGGCTGACACCTCTTTGTTCCAATCCCCCTGTCTTCGCTGCTTGCTTCCAAATATTTCATCTACCTCCAACTTTATTCTGCATGCATGCACTTTCTGCAGTTTCAGACAACAGCAGGATATATGCTGGGAATAATAAAGGTGGCACTATTAGGACTCAGATGAATATTGCTGTTGGCATGGATCACAGTGCTCACATTTATACAACTAGTTCCTAATTTGTGAGCACAAATGCTGTACTACCAGCTACCGGGCTGCAGATTTATGACATACAATACATAAGAAGTGGCAGGTTATATTTTGCCATCCAGCACAATATACAGCCAAGAACAATGCCCTCCTTTTTTTCTCTCTACCCAAATTTGACCATTTCCTTGTAATCTTCTACCCCTGGAGCTCCAGCTAGTTATTTGCGGCTATTCTAGATCAGTCACTTTAAGCTCCCTCAGTTAACACAGGGCCACAGTTTTCTTAATTGCTACATTCCTGTCTCATTCCTATCACCAGTGATGCTGAATTACAGACCATCAAAGATACTGTTCCTAGCTTTGATATCTCCCTTAGTTCCTTGGGCTCCTTGGAATGATGGAACAACTATTAAACTAGTTTGGGTATATAGTTTGTGGCTATACCCAGAAGTACTGAGGTGTCAGATAATATTGTGCTTTGGGAAGGTAATTTTTTATTGCAATATAGTAAAGGTTTGGGTGTCTTCCCCAATCACATTTCCCCATGTATGTCCCTATAGACAGAGCTATAAGATAGAGATGCAAGACTTACCTCTGCAAAGCAGTTCTGGGTCTTATCAGTGCTAGGATGGGCAGCTGCCTAAGGATTACTTGAGTTCCATTGAAATAGGTGGAATATAATTCTCCACCATGATAACAATAATTGAATAGGACTGGATATCAGACATTTTTTGTAATTTCTCAGTCATCCATTGTATGTCTCAGATATGCTTACCAGTAATGCCCACTCCTCCCCTAGATGTTTGGGAATGGAGTTCCCCACTTTGGATAACTCCCATAAAGCTCAAATAAAAGCTGCAGTGGATCAGGGGACCTGCTGAGAGAGAAGTCACCACCCTCCCCTGACTCACAGGTAAGTCTAGAAGAGTGCACAGGTCTGCAACCTGAATCCAAGATGCTGCCTAGAAACTAGAAAGGCAGTCATCCTGTTGCCCTCTCCTTAAACGCATCTCAAGAGCTTATCTAGAGAAAAGTAAGCTGAGTAGCAGCCCTTTGGTATAAAAGGTTTTAGTGAAAGAGTATGGAATAGATACCCTGAAGCTGCCCTGCTGGTTTAGCCCCATTTATGGGACATTTGGAAGTCCCTCTGCACACGCCCCCTAGAAAAATAGGAAACTAGTGCACTTATGCACACATTTGTATCTATGGATCATGTACAGGAAAACATCCAGGTGGATTGTGCCTGTGAGCTCTATCTGCAAAGCTTACTAAGTTATGTTCAAACAAGACAGAAATCCTATACAGTCAACAACATGGTAATTGCTCCAGACTCAGATTTTTAAACATGACAACATGACTTCTCATAAACACCAATTAAGCCCTTATATTTCTTCGCATGAGAATCAGGTTTCTTCTCCAGTGACAAACAATGCATTGAGTTTTGCCATTAGTTTCAGCTGTCAGCTTATCATTATCTATGCCAGTCTAAGATAGTTATAGGTCAGGCTTAGGGTTTCACTCTCTTGGCTTCCTTTTCTTCAACATGCCAGCCATCTTGCAAGTCTTGTTTCTGTCGTCTCTCTGGAGACCTCTCCAAGGCACAGTTTTTTATATTTCCATGCAGTCCTGCTTTCTTTCATCTCTTTCCATTGCTGCCCTCTTGCCCAGATGCCTCCAGACCCTCCCTTCATCTTGAGCATGCTGGTTGACTGACCAAGAAATAACAGCAAAATCCCAAAGAGTGCCAGAGCTGGCAGGGCAGCTCTTCACCGTTCCTTCTTGTAATCAGCAGGAACACTTGCATGCAGCCACCACAGGGTATGGGACTTGCCTCCAAGTGCACTGCTGAAGGGACTTCCTGTGACTCGAAGTATGATCCCTGTTCATCCAGCAATGCCACGCAAGGAGTTTGATGTGGGTGGTCTGTGCAGGCTGGCACGACATGCCTGGAGGCCATGAGCATCCAGCATCCATTAGGTCACAGTCAGTATGGCGCACCCAGCGTGGCCAGAAGATGGGTCCCATATCCACCCAGGAAGACTTCAGATGGCAGGAAGCACTAGCCACTAACCACTGATGGAGGCGCGGGAGGAGGGCTTGGCTCAGGTTGTGGGGGATCCCATCCTCGGAAGGCAGCAGGTCAGAAAAATCTAGTGCCTTGGCCTCCTGCAGGAGTTTCTTCCTAAACTGGGCTGTATGTTCAGCCAGGTCTTGGTTCAGGGTGCCCAATTCTTCTTGGCTTGTGTTCTGACCTCGGGGGTCCTCAAGAGACATCCAGAAAGGATCATAGGAAGAGCCCAACAGTTTCATCAACCGGGTGGCATGCAGCAGGCGCTTGGGTTTTGGTAAGTACTGGTGGTAGTCATCTGGAGAGAGGGACAGGCTGTAGGGCCTTGCTTGGGTGCCTGGCTTACTTTGGATGAGGCGGATGTCAGGCTTGGCTTGGGCCATCTTACTGCTCTTATGAGGTGGGGGAGCTTGCCTTTGGGGAACGTCTCCTTCTTGGGAAAGGCAGATGGCCCCAGCATGCTGAGATCTCTGGCAGCAGGGCTCCAGCAGCACACAGATTAACCAAGCTCTGACTTCCATGGCTGCCACAGTTCCTTCAGGACTGGAGTGCCTTTTAATTGCAGCAAGCTGGCCCTGTGGGCTCTTCTCTCCACCCCTTTTTGCTGTCAGCAGATCCCTTTGGCCAAGAACTTAATCATTCCCCTTTTCCCTAGTTACAAACCTTGATGTGAGAGAGCACTGCTGCTCCCAGGGGCCTTAGCAAATACAGAGTGAGGAAAAATACCTACCCCTTTAGCCTACTGGGCATTTGTGGTTATCTGTGCTTTTTATGGCATGTAATTACAGTACTGACCTTACTGCAAAGGATGCAGCATGTCTTGGCAGTTTGGAAGATGGTATGCCCATGCAAGGGCTGGCATAACCCAGTCAGGGATGTGTCAATGGCAAGAGTGGGGTCTGGATCTGGACCTTCACTACAAATCCAGGGCAGGCAACCTGCTTCCTTCCAAATGCATTCAACTATAAAACACATATCACAAGTTACACTGGCTATGTGGACTGTGGGATACAGGAGTTGTAGTCCAAAACATAAGGACTAAACATGACAAATTACCAGATATGTCACAATGTCAGTGGAGGCAGACACATGATCAGAAAGATTACATACATTAACTCCAACTGCAGCTTGACTTGGTGTCTCCAACACAGTACTGCAAGATTCCCTGAATAACTTCATTTTAACTGATTTCTTAACATCATCATCATCCAAGAGCATTCTTTTGAACGGGAATCTGGCATTCTGTAAAGCAAGGTACCACCTTCTGCTTTTATGTATAAAAATGCCTCTAATTCCCAGAGGCATTCATAGAAAATAAAAGTGCTGCAGACTAGCACTGCATTTTGAAACATGTGCAACCAACCTGAAAAAAGGAAAAGGTAAATTAGGGAAATAGAGAGAAAACAGTACTGGGAGAGGGGCAATAGAAGGCGGGGAGCAGAAGGACTGTTTTCCTTGTGCTGGGTGTGTGTTTTGCCTAGTTTTGTGTGTGTCTTTCAGCATCACCAGTTTGCCTTCTGAGAGATGGGTACTTTGCTGTGCTTTGTTAGGAAAAAGTAGGTGATTTGGCATTTGAGGCTCAGATTCCCCCTCTGCTTTCTCTTTAGGTCCTTGGCCAAGTTACTTTGTTCAGAGCCTCAACAGCTAGATCTCTATGATGTGTTTCAGCAGCCATTTTATGAACAGGAAAGCACCGATCCTTTGGCAGCCATTTTCTGAAAACCAACTGGGTTAGGAACCCCAAACCCAACTATTTAAATATTCATAAAATTGAACTACCTGCCCAATGTGGATGATTCTGGGTTCACCATAGGGTTGGCTGTTTGTACAAGGGGTACACCTCATTGCAAAGGCGTAGCTGTGAAGTTGAGCATGTTTGCTTCTGGCTTCTGGCACACCAGACGTCTTGCTGAGAATGGAAAGAGACTGAAGGTGCCACTGGATACCTAAAGCAACTGTGGCTCTGCAGCTTGGTCAGTGTGCGGTGCAATCAGGTGACGCAGCTGTGGCAGTGATTCAAAAAGTAGATCCCAATGGCTGTTGTTCAGACTGGGGACTGTTCTTTGCACTCCCACATTTCTATTAGAGTAAGCCCCAACAAGCCCAACACTCAGCTGCCAAGCATCAAGGACTGCACTGGAAACCTGGATGCCATCTAAACTTCCCATGAAGCACACTGAGAGAGCAAATGCCTTGCATGCAGAAGGAACGGGTTTGATTCCCAGCATCTCCAGGCACCACCTGCAAAATTCTTGTTTGTGAGAGGACAAAATGAGCAAAACCTTTGCATAATATGGCTGCTAAAAGCCTGACGCTGTAAGAACAGCTTTAGACTTAAGATCCATGTTACAAGTTTTGCTTCCCAGGTATGCCTTGGAAATGCTAGTGTCCCTGTCCTGAAAGGCCTTGTCCTCTGGAGGCATACTCATAGATGCATTGTCTTAATCCCTTTTGTTTTATTCTAAAGGCCTCTAGCATACTGTGTACATAATTCCCCCTCCTCCAAACTGTGTGTGCAATGAAAGCATCTTGTACACACTCCATCTTGGTAGTCCCTTGGAGACGGCCTGCATGCAACATGCATTTCTTGTATGTCTGAATAAACTGTAAATGTTCTTTTGTTTGTACACCCCAATGCACTCTCTTTTCATTCCTGAAACCCTAGAAAGCCATGCCTACCTCAGTGGTGACAATGTTGGGCTAGATGGACGCATGGTCTGGCTCACTATAAGAGACCGTCCTATGTTTCTAAGTTACTCCATTGCACTTTTTGTGATAGCAAAAAAGGAGGTGAACAAAACCCCATGAACATTATGGCACTTGTCCACAATGTTATTCTGGCATGTTTAACAGGTAATGTTTCTGGTGGCTAGTGTGATGAGGCAAAGCACCCCTATCCTAAAAAAAAGCAGTATTCTTCTAATGAGAAAGACATATTTAGCAGTGACAAAAAGACAGGAACTCTCCGCTTAGTGCTGCACACTGACAAGGCCACATAGTTCCAGATGCACCTGTTTCTATGGCAACAAAGCACTTGCATTCAACAAGAGACTGGGTACTTTTGTTTCCTTTACTCAGTAGAATCTTCTTCCTAAAGTTTAACTGTGTGTGGTGTTTGTATGAGAGAAAAGGGAGGGAGGGTGGAGAGGGAGAGTCCACACCTGACAGAACTGTTAAATAACCACAGGCCTTTGGCCAGAGGTGGGGTAGCCATCGTTCGGATGGGCTAGAAATGTCCTCCAGCAAGTTTGAGTCACTTCAACAAACTCTTCCAACAAGTTCTGCCTCCAGATCCATCTCTTCAGAAGTTCTTTAGTAGATATCATGCTGACAGACAGTATTAGGGATGGGTATTGGGTGATTCTTGGTTTCTTCAGCAGTATGAGGATGAGTACATTTCACACATTTCAGGAGTGATTTTGTGCATGTTTAGACAGAAAATAAGTTGTACAACTAGCATTTTTCTACTGCACAATGCTGGAAGCTGTAGGACTTCTATCTATGTAAACACACATAGGGTTTCACCCTTAGTTTAATAATGGAAAATCCATATTTGGAATATCCAAATAGATGGAATATCTATCTATGCTTGCTTGCTAAGGCTGATTAATCCAGTTGCTGCCATAGTGCAAACTATACATTTGCCTTTTTAAATTAGGGTTGCTTGCACGTGGTATGGGAATCACATATTTAATTATAAGCTCACAAGCTACTGCAGAATAGCAAGCTCTGCAGGCTCCAGTAGCATGCAGTTGATGCAGGGTATATAGTTGAATATTATTTATTTATTTAGGAGACTTCTATGCCGCCCCATTCGCTGAAGCCTTGGGGCGGCTCACAACCATAAATAAACTTCAAAATAGAATAATATAAATTAACAATATAAATTAAAGAATATGATATTAACTACGCAAATAGTTATGCTATTAAAGTCCATCTTATCATGTTTAAGAATCTTCCAAATTCTCTTCCTCCAATTAAAAGCTTGAGAAATCTTGATATTAGGACACCAAGAACATTGGTAGTTCCAGGCAGGCAGTAAAACAGCTTCCCCCAGCCCAGCAGCCTGCAGGTATGTTGCACTACAGTTCCCATCAACAGCATGATCAGTGTCACGCCAACCCATCTAGAGGGTGCCAGACTGAGGAAAGCTATTTAGAGTAGGCTTATTGACTTCAGTGTGTTTTTGCTAAATATGGGTAAGTTTGAATCCAAACCATTGGGCTGATGCTCCTTATATCTTTACATGACCAGGAAGGAAATTGCCTGTGAATCTTCTTTGGGAGCAATTTGTTTTAGGGTACTTTTCTTTTCCTTACCAGTAACAATAAGATGTATGCTCTTCTATCTGGGAATAACCATACAGAGCAGCCCTCATCTTTCACAAGGTATAAAATACTACAGTGCTGTAGTTAATGTCTAGGGTGATAAGATCTAAGGTTGACATTACACATCCCAATACTGAAGCCATTCTCTATAGTCTCTTACATGAGGGTTTCATGTGGCAAAGGAAAAGCAATTGACTTTATTATTGGTCTGTATACTTCAAGTTAATATTGAATATTGATTCTAAGGCTGAGCTCTGCACAAATTTTATTTATTTGTGGCATTATCTATTCTGCCTTTCCTTTGAGGAGCTAAGATAGCATCTGTCTCTTTTATCTTCATAAAAAGCCCCTGAGATCAGTTAGGATGAGATCTTTATAGTATGCAGCATTGCTACATGTACTCTGATACCTGCAACCCCTCTCACCAACTAAAGCATCCATCCAGCTGCTTCCATTTTGAAGCTGGGTCTGTCTAAACTGTTGTCCTCAGAGCCTCGGCTACCTACACATCACCAAAAGAGAGGATCATTTGCTGCATGCAATTGTGTAGGTATAGCTGCACCTTTGACCCTTATTGCTATAATTTACATAGAAATAAAATACAGTCTCACCAGAGTGGGAGGAAGGCTGTGACCTATTCAGTCTGCTGTCCAGTTGCTGAGGGTAGATAGGCAACTTCAAGACCCCTTCTTAGAGTTCTTGATCTTTACACTGGATTTGGGCTAGACAGCTGCACCTCCAAGAAGAGTCCCAAAAGCAAGGGGTTGTCTTCATTGATATCAACAAAAGCAATTCAAGCTGTTTTATCTCTACCAGGAACATCTTTTGTTGAAGTTAATGCACCTTAAATAACAATGCAAGACTAACCTACTCCAAAATAGTTTGCATGACATCAGGAAACAACATTTTGTTGCTGGAGAAATTCATGTTTACCCAGTTACTGTGAGAATTGCAGCTCAGCTCAGAGGGGATAGGGAATTCTGAGAAGGCTAGTACTGGAAGACAGTATCCCTTCTAATTCAAAGTTGACTTCTTGTCCCTCACTCCCCTCTACCAATGTTCAGTAGGCCCATGTTTGTTGTACAGGAAGCCTGTGTGTGGTGGTGATACCAAGTCCATGGAGGGCTGATCACTTTTGCTGCCCATCTGCCACATGGGGACTCTTGCTTGTAGCACATGAAGCAGTTCTAAGAGCTCTGTATACATTTAATGCATGTTGAAAAAGCCCAGTCCTTCCTGTCTCAGTTTTGCACACAGCCCGTTTGTCGCAGATTATTCTATGGGGGACTGGAGATCATGCATTGCTTTTCCCATGGCCATCTAAACGATGTTTTGAACACATTACTCTGTTACAACGATGAATGTGATCTGGCTCCTTAAAACTGAATGGCAAAATAGACTGCTTTCATAGGTGAGAGCCATTCCACCTGATATGTATGTTCTGCTCTACATTTCTATGGATCTCTGTAGAGCAGGCATGGTAGTGCCCAGAAAAGGGTCTAGCAAAGCAGTCAGGAAGATAGATAGATAGATAGGGAAAGAAATGCACTGTTCAGGATAAGGAGATCTGGCCATAGGAGGGTTAACACCCAACCAAACCTAAAGGGAAAAAAAAGATCAATGGGCTTGGCAGAGCTGGAGTGGGGGGAAGCAAAGAGAGAGAGAGAGAGAGAGATCAAGGGAGGAGGAGAGGGGAAAGAAAAAGCAGATGCGAAGTGGAGGGAGATGCACTGGGAAGTAGCTAGAGCAAGAGAGGCAGAAGCACAGCAGAGCTTTCTGCATCAGAACTTACAGAATTCTCTAGTTTCTCTCCC